CATACTATGTGTCCATTAGGGTGCTTCTCAGTTAATACCAGTTGCTGGTGGAGTACATGTGGTGCTTGTTTTTCCATCTTGGGATACTTCATCTATGTTATGGTTCCAGCTATAACCAGGAAACAATCTATTTTAAAATTTTCTGTTCTCTTTTGGATCTATTTCTCCATTGGAATTTTTTCGTCGACTTGGGTTAGGGACTGCTTTCAGCCCTACTGACAGAGCGGACATTGAGGGATGCAATCACACAGAGGATGTTTATTTTCTGGTAGCAGGGTCCAGCCCCAGAGCACCAACGCGTGGCACTCTCAAGGCAGGACCCCGCCGGAACAAAACGGCATGCCTTTTTTTTACTGGTGGCAAGCTGGCAACAAGCGTCGCGCATGATCATGCGTGCTTTAAATGATTGGTTGCCTATAGTTGCCTTTTGAATATTGGTGGGGTGGTTGGCCTCTATTGCGACTGATAGGCCGTTCTGCCCGTGTTAATGGACCTTCCCCTAATTCCCTATACAGCGGTGTAGAAGCGCAATGCCGACGCCAAAAGGTTTGCGTTAGGGCTCATTGCCCACCCAAGTGGTCTGACAGTAGAAGATTCCTCTGCCTTCGTCTGTCCTCCATTCTTTGCCTACATTCCCCCCCTTTCTTAGTTGCGACGGGCCTCTTGCTGTCCCGGGTCTTTAGGTGCTTAGTTTTATGCACTGCCTAGCTATGTATTGTGTTGCAATTAAGTAGTGGGACAGTTTATCCGTTCTTTATAAGCTGCTGTCTATTAATTACACCAATGGCGCAAAGTAAGGCTAATGATTGTAAGGCTGGTGGCAGGCTCCCCTCCTCTCCCTGGATCAAAAAGAAAAGGCTCAGGAGTCCAAAACCCGCCAAGGACAAACTGCTAGGCCTCACTGAGAAGAACCACACCCAGAGGTCCACCCAGATAAGAAAGTTTTGGCTCCTGGATTCCGCAAATACCGCCAGCCCCTCCTATTTCTCAGTGATCACCAAAGGTTGCCCCAGCTCTTCCCGACAAAAGTCCCTAGCCCAGTATATATATATATATATAATATATATATTATTGAGTATATATATCAGCTTGAGTATCAGCTATTAATTAGGCTGACTTTTTTATTTTTATTTTTTTGAGACAAATTCTCACTCTCTTCCCCTCTCTAGAGTACAGTGCTGTCAGCTCTCTGCAACCTCAAACTCCTGGGCTCAAATGATCCCACCTTGGCCTCCCAAGTAGCTGGGACTACAGGCATGAGTCCCAGATCACATGAGTCCCCACCACACCTGGCTAATTTTTCTTTTTCTTTTTTTTTTTTTTTGAGACAGAGTCTCGCTTTGCTGCCCAGGCTAGAGTGCCGTGGTGTCAGCCTAGCTCACCTCAAACTAGCAACTTCAAACTCCTGGGCTTAAGCAATACTTCTGCCTCAGCCTCCCAAGTAGCTGGGACTACAGGCATGCGCCACCATGCCCGGCTAATTTTTTCTATATATTTAACTGGCCAATTAATTTCTTTCTATTTATGGTAGAGACAGGGTCTCACTCTTGCTCAGGCTGGTTTCGAACTCCTGACCTCGAGCAATCCGCCTAACTCGGCCTCCCAAAGTGCTAGGATTACAGGAATGAGCCACCATGCCTGGCCTTAAATTTCTTTTTTTTAAATTTATTTTATTTATTTATTTTTATTTTTTTTAATTTTTTGTAGAGATGGGGGTCTCACTACTCTGCCCAGGCTGGTCTCGAACTCCTGGCCTCAAGTGATCCTCCCACCTTGGCTTCCCAAAGTGCTAGGATTATAGGCATGAGCCAGCATGCTGGCCTAATTGCACTAATTTATTTAACAAGTACTGATTGAGTTTCTACTGTGTTGAAAGTTCCAAAACAGAAGTTTACAAGCCCCACCCCCACCTCCTGTTCCTCTGTCCTGCCCCCACCCCTACCAGTAATCCTGTCCCTTTCAATGGGGGGGGGGTGCAAAAAAGGAAGCAGAGCAGGATGGGAGCTACTTAAGTTCCCTGAAGTCAGAGATCTCATATCCCTGCCCCCAAATGGTATCCAGCACATAGTAGATGCTAAATTAAATAGTCGTTGAATGAATTGGACAACTCCTGAGCAGAAAGTCTCCTGAAGGGGGTACTCTGGGGACAGAGAGAGTGACAGAGATACTCCTTCCCTCTCCACAGTTCCCTGCTTTACAGGGACCTAGAGGGGACACAGGGTGACAACTCCAGGTAGACACACCAAAGATGAGAGAGAGTCTACACAATAGTGTGCTGGAGTCAGCAAATACCACTCGTGAGAGCTGATGGTTAAATTTCTAGAAATGTTGCTGGCTGGTTGTTAAGCATAGACATTATCTAAAACCAAATGATATCACTTACAATTGAAGACATTATTTCCAAAAGAAAAGTAACAAATGCCCCAAATTCACCATGCCCTAATTACTATATTTATATTAATTGTGTCTGTGGGGTAGGCACACTATATGACAGTATTACACTGTGCATCTCTTTCCAATTTCGTGTTCAATGATGTCATGTTGGTAGCTTAGAATTGGCCGTGGTGGGAGAATTTACACCATGGAAATTGGCAAACGCTACCAACCAGGGTTTTTTCCGTCCAGAGAGCTGGTTGTTAAGAGTTTACCAGCACACCTCTGGTTCTGAAAGGGAGAGCAGAGGGTTTAGAACAACAGACCTCATTCGAGAGTGCTGTCTCCTAGGGAAATTTTGGGGATCTATGGGGTGCTATTAGTTGTCACAGTGGTGTGTGGATGGTACCAAAGCATTTCATGCGGCTGGGGGCCAGTATGCTAGAAGTCACCTGTGCAAATTGTCCTGCATCCCCGTGACTTTGCAACATCCGGCTGACACGCATGGAGGGGAGATATCTGTTTCACATATTTTGTAACGCTCCCCCTGTTTTCTTTTTTCCTTGTCTTCGGGGAAACCAGGTCATTTGTCCCATAGACTGGCCCACATTCTGGACTTGGCCGATAGCATCTTCATGGTGTCGATTCACTGGCAACCTTATCCTCCTGTTTTTCTGAAAGCCGGTGGTTAGAGCGAGACACTTGGTCTGATTTGGAGGGATTTTTTTGTTTGTTTGCTTTTTACAGAAAGGGTCTTGCTCTGTCGCCCAGGCTGGAGTGCAGTGGTATAGTCATAGCTCACTGCAACCTCGAACCCCTAGGCTCAAGTGATCCTCCCGCCTCAGCCTCCTTTTTCTTTTTTTTTTTTTTTTTGAGACTGAGTCTCACTTTGTTGCCCAGGCTAGAGTGCTCTGGCATCAGCCTAGCTCACAGCAACCTCAAACTCCTGGGTTCAAGCAATCCTCCTGCCTCAGCCTCCCCAGTAGCTGGGAATACATGCATCTACCACCATGCCTATATATCTTTAGTTGACCAATTAATTTCTTTCTATTTTTAGTAGAGACAGGATCTCGCTCTTGCTCAGGCTGGTTTCAAACTCCTGACCTTGAGCGATCCTCCTGCCTCGGCCTCTAAGAGTGCTAGGATTGCCACCACGCCCAGCCTCGCTTCAGCCTCTTGAGTAGCTGAGACTGCAGGCACATGCCACCATGCCTGGCTAATTTTGTTTTCTGTTTTGTGTGTAGAAATGGGGTTTTGCTGTGTTGCCCAAACTTCAGAGTCTTTTTAATTTTTTTTTTTTAAGGGAGCTTCCTAGACGTTAGTAAACCTCCTGGGGCTTCACCTGGGGCCCAGAGGGCTCCTTCTCTCTCTCTCAGCATTGGGACCACTGGGGGCTTCGGCAGTGCCTGCCTCTTTCCTATCCAATAAAATTCCTCATCTTCCACCTGATTTCGGCCACCATAGACAGGCACTGATACCTGTGATATCAGACAGGGATCATGAGTGGATGCAAAGTGGTGATTCCCTGAGAGCATTTTTGAAATAAGGGAAACCAAGAGGAGTTGCCATTTGCCAGGTGTTTTTCAAGATCCAACTGGCTTGGTTTCAAATCCCAGCTTCTATGACTGTCTAGCTGCGTGTCCTTGGCCGAGCTCCTTCGCCTGTGCTGTGGTTCCCCCTGAGGACAACAGAGCTGCTAAGAACAGGAACTTCACGGAACTGTTGTGAGGATTAGAAGAGGTCAGTAGATAAGAAGAGGTCAGTAGATAAGGTCTGACATAGCTGTTTGCCAGAGCAATATGGACTCCCTGGATTCTGTCCCCACCCCCAGCCGGAGGAGGGGGACAGAGTGGGTACCCTTTCGTGGTACTGCAGTCCCTCAAGGAAGACCCCCAGGGGCCCCAGAGGGAGGAAGGGACCTTGACTGCACCTGTCTCCCAAGCAAGATGAACTTCCTGGCTGTAGGAGCCCAGGCACATGGCAAGATGGACTTCCTGGCAGGCACCTTCCTGGCAGGAGGAGGGCTCCTGGCTCACCTCCCCGCAGCAGCCTGGCCACACCTGCTCTAGAAAGCCAGGTAGAGCCTGGGTGGAGTTCTCCAGCCACCAATGCTGGAAGGCTCAGGAGGTTTCAGTGGCCCTGAGTGAAGAGACCCAGAGGGAGCAGGGAGAGCTGAGCCACCTACAGAGCCGCCCTGTCACCCACCGCTGGATTTCTCCAGCCAGGACCAGGTGAGAGAAGGCGAGGGGTGGGGGCGGCAGCTTCCTCCTACCCTGCAGCACGCAGGCCTTGGGGACACATGCACGCACACACACGTACACACACACTCCAGGCAGAGAGCAGGGATTTGGGGAGTGGAGTCTCAGCCAGCCACTTGTTGGTCTCTGGTCCCCTCTGGCATGCACCCCCACCTCAGCGCCTCCAGGAGAGGAGGGCCCACGCCTGGGCAGCCAGGACCCTCCTCCTCTCTGCCTTCCTCCCTGCACCTTCAGCCCCTCCCCCCCAGCCCGGGCCACCAGCTTCCTCCTCCCTCCTGTCACTGTCACCAGAACCAACCTGGTTATAGTGCTGACAGAAAGGCCAGGGCAGTGGGAACGGGCTTGTCCTGTTCCCGTCTTGGGGGCTGCTGACCCCGGGCAGACTGGTCCTCTGAGGCCCCACCTCTGAGCCGGGCCTGGTCTGGGGAGATGCTCCCCCCCACTCCCTAATTCCATCCCGAGTCCCTGCTCCTGTTCTGGGCCTGGGACTGAACGTGAGGATTTCAAGGTGACAGCTGCACATTTGTGTCCTAAACTCCCATGTCTTCCCCAAAGTTGCGATGGCTGTGACTGCTTGTGCAGAGAATCCGCAGGGAGGGCTGGAGGGGGGGCAGCAGGGCGTTTACCTGCAGGGGTGAGGTAGGGAAGGGCTTCCTGAGCTAAGGGACAGGAGGGCGCTGGGGTATTTCCTGGGAACAGCTGGTGACAAGTCAAAGTAGGGCAGGGCCGGCTGGAGGCTGGGATTCTGTCTTGAGGGGTGGGGAGCCCTGGCAGGGCCAGCACACGGTGAAGGGACAGATTGGGGGGGGGAGCCAGGTAGCCGGGTCCAGGGGAGAGGATGCAGCCGGGTCTGGAGTAGAAAGAAGTGGAGACAGGGGGGACCCCACTCTCCTAGGGGCACTGGAGACCTGGTTTCTCCTGCGAAGTTGGGGCCCTTCTGTTCTGGTGGCCTACTGCAGTCTCCCAAGGCAGACCCCCAGGGCCACTGGATCGAGGAAGGGCCCTGAGGTGCCTGATGCAGCTGTAGGAACTGGGAGCGGATAACAAGCTGGACTTCCTGACCTCAGGGGACCAGGGAAGGCCCAGGCGCCGCCCCTTTGCCGAAGCGGCACAGCCCCAGATGTCCACTTCCACAATCTGCATCTCCCCAGACTCCACCCCCCCCCAACTTCGGGCTAGTGGCTTTTGCAGTCTCCAGCTGCCATCTGAGCACCCTCCCCAGCTCCACCACACCCCTGGGGCTCCTCTCTCAGCCCCTGCCCTGGGCCAGTCTCTGTGCTTGCTTCATTGCTGTAAAATGGGCAGGATGTCGCCCAATTGCAGAGTTGTTATTAAAAGTCCACAAGATGATGCCATCGATGGGGCTGGTGGGGTTTGGGAGATCGGGCTCACACGGCCCTGGAGGGATTTTTATCCCTGGTTTATGGACAAACAAGAGCACTGAAGCACAGAGAGGTAAAGGCCCTGGGTCAAGGTCACACAGCTAAGCGGAGGCTCACGATTACCCCCCACAGGGTTTCTCTCCAAACCTAAGTGATTTGCAGTCTCAGCGCAGCTCCCACTCTGAGACTCGGGGTCTCGCTCTGCGAGGTTCCCACCTTTCCTGCTCCCCTTGCAAGCTTGGTCAAGGTCAGCCCATCCGCCTTCCTGGGTGAGGAGGGAGGGAACAACCAAGGAGGCAGAGACGTTGTTCTTAGACATTCTGCCTTTCTTTTTGTTAGGGTGGAAAGACTAGCTGCTGCTCACTGCCCACGTGGAGAAAGATTTCTCACGCAGAAATTAAGATATAAAAGTTCAACATTTATTTTATCTTCTTAGAGGAGAGAGACCGAGAGAAAAAGAGAAAGAGGGAAGGAAAAGAGGAGGTGGAAAGAGAGCAAGGAGGTGGCCAGGTGACTCCCTGATTTCAACGGAAGGAAGAGGAAAAAAAACAGTGACATGTCACTTGCTAACAAAAGCGGCAGCAGGTAGATGACAAAAACTGCAAAGATGTCAAAGTCCAAAAGCTGGTTTCCTGCCTTCCTTGTAGAGGGATTACCCTAGGAGATGTGACTTTGCCCTGGAGATATGGTTGACGCTGTAGCTTGTTCTGCTGCTTACTCAGCAACTCTGTAAAAGCAGATTCTCAAAAAAATATATTTTTTTTTTGAAAGAGAGACATTGACATCTTTTTTCCGTCCATTCAGCTTTTTCAGAAGCTGTGCAAAGCAGAGCTCTTGCGGGGCGCCTGTAGGGGAGAGAACTCATAGGATGGGTCTTTAACTGTGACTGGGGAAATTGAGGGATTAGAGATTCTCCTATTACTTTCACTTTTTACCCAAACCAAGCTAGGTTTTCAGTCTTTCCCTTTGCCGTAAACACATTCGGAGGGGATGTCATGTTCTCAGTGCAGGGGCCCAGGGATCAGAAGGTTTGATCGTGAACGTCTGTTCTTCCGCTATGTCTTTTTCTTTTTCATCTACCCGGTATCCAGAAGCGGAGACCAGTAAAGTAAGACAGGGGACGTGGGGAAGGAGAAACAGGAGACCGGGAGGTGTTGGCAAGGACACAGTAAAGTAAGACAGGGGACGTGGGGAAGGAGAAACAGGAGACCGGGAGGTGTTGGCAAGGACACACGCAGAGTGGGAGCCAGGCGGGGCACTGGGCACAGGGGTGACCCGCCTGCCTTCTGCGGAGTCCCCTGCCCGCCCGCCCGCCGTGCCCAGCCCAGCTTCCCGGGTCTTGTGGTGGCAGATACACAGGAATGAGAGGGACACTGGCCCTCCCTTCACAGAAGGGGGTGTAATGAAGAGACTGAGGCCTGAAAGAGACCGGCCTGGAGAGAGACCCGGAAGCAGGAAGGGGTGGGGACAGAGCAGGGACAGGACGCGACCCAATGGAGACACGTCCTCCCGGCTCCTGCTTCTCTCCCCCACTCCTTCTCACTTTCTCTGTCCCTCCTCTTGTCTTTCTCTTCCTGTCTCTGTTTCTTTCTCTCTGTCCTTGTCTTTTTCTCCATTTCCTCTCTTTCCCTCTTTTCTGATCTCTGTCCCCTTTTTTCCTCTAATGGAGAAAAAGTAGTATCTTTTCCTTTTCGTGAGGCACCTATAAAGAAAGACAGATTAACAAGATAAAAGCATAACAAATTTATCTAATAAAAGTATTACCTGACGTGGGAGCCTGTAGAAATGAGGACCGTGGCCAGGTGCAGTGGCTCACGCCTATAATCTCAACACTTCAAGAGGCCGAGGCAGGTGGGTCGCTTAAAGACAGGAGTTTGAGACCAGGCTGGGCAACAATAGTGAGACCCCATATCTACAAAAATTTTTTTTAAAAAAATCAGCTGCTTCCAAGTTTGTTCTTAGTCAGAAAAAGATAAAAAAAAAAAAAAGAATAGAAGAAAAAATTAAAATTTTTTTTAAAAAATTAGCTGGGCGTGGTGGCAGGTGCCTGGAGTCTCAGCTACTCGGGAGGCTAAGGTGGGAGGATTGTTCAAGGGTTTCACTGTACTCCAGCCTGGGTGACAGAGTGAGACCCTGTCTCAAAAAACAGAAAGAAATGAAGACACAAAAAAACAGGGAAACCCGTGTATTTTTATGGTTAGGTTCGATGGGGCATGGATAGCACGCAGAAGGACGCTTGGACAAAGGGAGTATGATCTAAGGGTAATAAACTGGGGGGACGTGGGCAAGACCTGTTTGTCCAGACGCCTCTCTGTGTCCCTGTGTCTTCAGAGCTAAAGATAATCCTTTCCTCCGGGGATAGGAAGGGCACCTCAGGGTTGATGATCCTATGACCCACTTCCGTGGAGGTCAGGGAGACCTTCCCGCTTCCGCTGTTTTCTCAGATGCCAAGGTGACATATTTTGGAGCAGCATGTCACGAACCTCATTGCTTCCTTTCTCCCTCTGTCCCTTCCCGCCATCCCTCCACCTTCCCAAGCCTTCACAAGCCTTCACAAGCATTGGTCCTGTGCCTGGCAAATTCGGAGCCAGGCAGAAGAGCCACGTTCCCTCCTTGCCCTTGAAGTGCTCAAAATCTAGCTGGAGAAAGGAAGAGAGAAACACCCAGGAGAAGTGGGAAGAAAACACGAGAGAGACAGAGCAGCAACTTATAAATCAAAAGCAGGGATATTGCAATGTTGGGGCCTATGCCAATTTTTACCTGCTGCAATTAGCTCCGAGGACCACACCTGCATACCTCTGGCAGCTTCCCAACCAGGTCACACCCAGCTCGACTGAGCCCCAGTGTTCTCTTCCTGGGAACTTCGGCCAATGCTCTGACCACGAACACAGGCCTTGGACTGCGCCAACTGGAAGCCTTCTGTCTCTAACCTACCTTTGTGCAGAGCCTCCAGGACAGGGGTCCTCAAACTTTTTAAACAGGGGGCCAGTTCACTGTCCCTCGGACCGTTGGAGGCCATTGGAGAGTGGGCGCACATTCCCACACAGCGCATGTGGCCCAGGAAGAGTCAGTCCGCTGCTAAGGAGGACAGGCAGCCGAGGCAAAAAAAAAACAAACAACAAAAAAACAAAAACACCCGGGGGCCGGAAAATGTCCTCGGTGGGCGCATGTGGCCTGTGGGCGAAGTTTGAGGATGCCTGGTCCAGGATATGCTACTATTAAAGCCTGCTCCTGAGAAAGAGGGGGTTTTTTTGTTTTTTGTTTTTTTTTGAGACAGAGTCTCACTTTTGTTGCCTGGGCTAGAGTGCCATGGCATCAGCCTAGCTCACAGCAACCTCAAACTCCTGGGCTCAAACAATCCTGCCTCAGCCTCCTGAGTAGCTGGGACTACAGGCATGTGACACCATGCCCGACTAATTTTTTCTATATATATTAGTTGGCCAATTAATTTCTTTCTATTTATAGTGTTAGGGACCGGCTTCCTGCACCCCGCCAGGCAGACGAACAAAGACACCAAGGATGCAATCACTCAAGAGGAGCTTTATTTTCTGGCTAGCCAGGGTCCAGGCCCTAGAGTGCCAGCGCAGTGGTCGCTCTTACAGGCAAGGACCCTGACCAAAGCTGGGCTGCCCTTTTATCCCCCTCCTCTTGAACACCCGCGCTGCACAAGCTGATTGTGCGTGTTAGTCTTTAAAATGATTGGTGGACTGGTAGCCCCGCGGCGGCAAAGGGGCCTTTCTCCCTTATCTGGCACCGTACCTATGCGTCTAGCTGCAAGCAAGCGATTCTCAGAAGCAGAAATATGCGTTTAGCCGATAGCTCTACCTTTGGGCCCCAAGCTAGCAGTTTCCAGAAGCCGATTACTCCTCCCCTGGGCCAATTTTCTGTTATCCGGGCTCGCACAAGTGAGCAGCAGCTTTGGGCTGCAACCAGGCCCTTACAATAGTAGAGAAAGGGTCTTGCTCTTGCTCAGACTGGTTTCGAACTCCTGACCTCGAGCAATCCACCCGCCTCGGCCTCCCAGAGTGCTAGGATTACAGGCGTGAGCCACCGTGCCTTCCCTCCTTCCTTCCTTCTCTTCCCTCCCCTCCCCTCCTTCCTTCCTTCCTCCTTCCTATTTTCCTTCCTTCCTTCCTTCCTTCCTTTCTTCCTTCCTTCCTTCCTTCCTTCCTTCCTCCTCTTCCTTCCTTCCTTCTTCCTCTTCTTCCTTCCTTCCTTTTTCTTCTTTCCCTTCTTTCTTGTTCTTTGTTTTTGTTTTTTGAAACAGGGTCTTGCTCTGTCACCTGGGCAACACTGCAGTGGCATCAGCCTAGCTCACAGCAACCTTAAACTCCTGGGCTCAAGAGATCCTCCTGCCTCAGCCTCCCAAGCAGCTGGGACTACAGGTGCACCACCAACCCGTCTGGCTAATTTTCCTAATTTTTTGTAGAGACGGGGTCTCGCTCATCCTCAGGCTGCTCTTGAACTCCTGGCCTCAAGTGATCCTCCCTCCTTGGTCTCCCAAAGTGCTAGGATTACAGGTGTGAGCCACTGAGCCTTTTTTTTTTTTGAGACAGAGTCTCACTCTGTTGCCCAGGCTAGAGTGAGTGCCGTGGCGTCAGCCTAGCTCACAGCAACCTCAAACTCCTGGGCTCAAGCAATCCTCCTGCCTCAGCCTCCCAAGTAGCTGGGACTACAGGCATGTGCCACCATGCCTGGCTAATATTTTGTATATATTTTTAGTAGGCCAATTAATTTCTTTCTATTTTAGTAGAGACGGGGTCTTGCTCTTGCTCAGGCTGGTTTCCAATTCCTGACCTTGAGCTATCTGCCCACCTTGGCCTCCCAGAGTGCTAGGATTACAGGCGTGAGTCCACCAACACCAATCCCCGTTATTTCTTTTTCAACATCACCTGCCATCTGCCTTCAGGGTCTTACAGTAAAGATTGAATGAACTTAATCGGTACAACTTGATTGGCTGAGAGAACTTGATTGACACAATTCATGTCTTACAGCCAGCCTACACTCGTCAAAGGTCATGGCCAATGAATGGATAAGCTACCATGGAGCTGAGTGTCCATCTCAAGTTCAATCGGCTATAGCCAACAGGGTAGACAGGTCACGTGATTGAGTCCTTGCTGCCCAGAGCAATTTCCCTCCAAAGGGGAGATAGGCAGGGCATGCAAAAGGTGAACAGCTCTAGAAACCGGATCCCCAGGGAATACTGAGTACATATACTTGTACTCACCATCACGTATGTACACTCAAGTCTACAAACACCCACATTTAAACATACCATGTATATACACACTCCTGAATATACACACATATGCACACACACCATGTTCACAACCACTTATGCCATGTATATATACACACTCTTTTATGTCCACAATATTTGCACACCCAGACCCTACAACGCACACTTGTCCACTGTATGCACACAATTTTGCACATACCCGTATATACACAAAATGTATAGATATATACACATACATGTACACCGCGTATACACAGCCACCTGTGTAGACACACCCACCTATGAACACAGTGTGTTCACACCTGCGTAAACACACTAGAGTCAGACCATCACACACATATGCAAGTGTGTACCAAGTATTTACACACACGCAGTGAACCCATGCCACATACGCCCGCACAACGCCTGCGCACACAGCGCCCCGGCACCCGCCTCCCAGCTAACGCGCCCTGCTTTCCCTCCCCAGCAGCCATGATCAGCACTCAGGGACCTTTCCTCTTTCCCATGGCCCATGTCGTCCTCTTTGTCTTCACGGCTTCCACCATATTCCACCTTCAGCAGCGGCTGGCGAGGATGCAGCCTCCGTCGTGGGCGTCACAGGCGCCGGGGCCGAGGCCAGCACCCACGCGGGCGCCAGGCGGCATCTGGACGATCAACGCCATCGGCCGCCTGGGGAACCAGATGGGCCAGTACGCCACGCTGTACGCCCTGGCCAAGGCGAACGGGCGGCCGGCCTTCATCTCCCCCCAGATGCACAGCTTCCTGGCCCCCATCTTCAGAATCAGCCTCCCGGTGCTGCACAGCTCCACGGACAGCCAGGTCTTCTGGCAGAACTACCACCTGAACGACTGGATGGAGGAGGAGTACCGCCACATCCCCGGCAAGTACGTGCGCTTCACGGGCTACCCCTGCTCCTGGACCTTCTACCACCACCTGCGCCCCGAGATCCTCCAGGAGTTCACGCTGCACGACCACGTGCGCGACGAGGCCCAGGCGTTCCTGCACCGCCTGCGGGTCAACGCGAGCTGGCCGGGCACCTTCGTGGGGGTCCACGTGCGCCGGGGGGACTACGTCCACGTCATGCCAAATGTGTGGAAGGGTGTGGTAGCCGACCGGCGCTACCTAGAGCAGGCCATGGACTGGTTCCGGGCGCGCTACAGCTCCCCAGTCTTCGTGGTCACCAGCAACGGCATGGACTGGTGCCAGCAGAACATCGACACCTCCCGCGGCGACGTGGTGTTCGCTGGCAACGGCATTGAGAGCTCGCCTGCCAAGGACTTCGCGCTGCTGACGCAGTGTAACCACACCATCATGACCATCGGCACATTTGGGATCTGGGCCGCCTATCTCGCTGGAGGAGACACCATCTACCTGGCCAATTACACTCTCCCAGACTCTCCCTTCCTCAAAATCTTTAAGCCAGAGGCAGCCTTCCTCCCTGAGTGGGTGGGGATCCCCGCAGACCTGTCCCCCTTACTCAAGCACTAGTGCTAGCCTGTCCTTAGCAACCCCTTCTCCTTTTCCGACTCCCCCAAGATCAGTTCCAAGGCATGAGAAGGACTTTGTTACATGTACAGAATGTATAAGTTTGGGCTGCAAGTAACACACGTCCCAGCCGACTGATTCGAGAACCACATTCGTGTGTCTCACACAAGACTAGAGATGGCCCAGCTCCAGGGTTAATTTAGCAGATCAACAAAGTCATGAGGAACACTAGCTCCATCCATCTTCATGCTGTGCCTTCATCTCCTCTTAGCCCAGTTGCCTCATGGTCCCCCAAAGGCTGCGATACATCCAGCTATCACATCCAGATAACCCCTTGAAGAGGCAGCAGAAAGAGGCTCATTCTTATCTTAGGTACATTTTGAAGAACGAGGGAAACCTTCCTAAGCCCTTCACTAACTTCTCCCCATAGCTCATTGGCAGGAATTGTCATTGCCCATGTGGCCCATTAGGAGGCAAGGCCAATGAGACCACTGGGACTGGCTTAGCCTCAGGTCTTGCAGCTGGGAAGTTGCCCAGCCACCTCTGAAGGACATAGCGACTTGCAGAAAGCTGGGCTTTTACCAAGGAAGAAGGGGGAATGGCTTTAGAGTAGATAATGGGGTTGCCCCAAATGGTTGTGTAGGTTGTTCACTACACAAAGGCACCTGGTAAGGAAGGCAAGTGGGCTGAAACAGACCCAGAATCTACTCACCAAGCCAGATGTCCTTGGATCTGTTTCCACCCAGGGGCTCACTTTTTTCTAATTTGTCCATCCAGAAGGGGACCCTTGTTCCACTTTGCACAAAAGCGCCATATTGGCTAGTACCTGGTGTGCACCAAGACCATATGCTCCACCTCCGCAACCGTGGCTTCCTTGGGCCTGGGGTGACCATCCATGAGAACACAGGGACCAGTGTGGCTCAGTGAACTTGAGGGCATTCCATTCATTATTTCAGTAAATGGTATGGCACATCCATTCCATGTCAGGCAGTGAATACATGCCACCACATCCTTCCCTGCTAGACGATACATTTGTAACCATTACCCAGACATCAAAGACATGATATTTATCTAACCACCATTATGACAACAGTCATACTGCCAGATGGTCCCAAGGATTTTGAGGCTGAGATGGGAGGATCACTTGAACCCAGCAACCTGGGACTGTAGTTTGCAGGCTACGATTGAGCCTGCAAACAGCCACTGCACTCCAGCCTGGGCAACACAGCAAGACCCTATCTCTAAAAAAATTTAAAAAGTAATAACTTAAGGCCTAGTGTGTTGGATCATGCTTGTAATCCCAGAAATTTGGAAGGCCGAGGTAGGATTGCTTGAAACCAAGAGTTTGATACCAGCCTGGGCAACATGGTAAGACCTCTACAAAAAAATAAGAAAAATTAGCCAGGCATAGTGGCACATTCCTATAGTCTCAGCTACTAGGGAGGCCAAGGTGACTTGCGACCACTTAAGCCTCGGAGTTCGAGGCTGCAGTGAGCTATGATTGTGCCACTTCACTCCAGCTTGGGCAACAGAGCAAGAACCTGTCTCAAAAAAAAAAAAAAAAAAAAAATTAAAAAATGTGTGATCTCTCTTTAAAAAAATAATGACTTAAAACTCCAGCAATTTATTCCTTCCAGCAATTCTGTGGGTCAGCTGAGTGGTGTTTTGCTCGTATGGTGTTGGCTGAGGCCTCTCACGTAGCTGCATTTATGTGGAATTTACTTGGAGTATCAAGGATCTCCTTTGTGTTGGCTGTCTGGCAGCATAACCTGGACTTCCTCATGGCATTGCTTTCAACTTTTTGAAAAGCTGACATGTTTTTGGCAAGTCAAAAGTTTTGAATGTTCGCTGAAACATGCACTCTTGGAATCTTTATTTACCATGTAATGTGTCCAACTCCTGGAAGCAGCCATGTTGGGAGGAAGCACAAGCTCCACTGAGAGGCCACATGCAGATGCTTGTGGCTTCGCTGAGGCCACTTCAAGTCATTCCAGGCCAGGAATCAGAAGCCTCCAGATGATTCCACTGTCATGGCCCGTTTACAGGACAGAGGATGAACACAGAACAAAAATGCAGAACACAAAGAAAAACGCAGACACACATACAGACGGTTGACTCGAGTAATAATACACCGGGTCAGTTTATTTTTATACTCTAAAAAATTAAAGTTAGTTCCTTGTACATAACCACTCAGACATTTCAGCAATGGCCATAAATTCCAGAATACGTAGCCTTAGGGAAGTAGATATCCCCTGGCTCAGAATTTCCAGGCCGAAAATAAATAAATAAATAAATAGTCTGTTATGCAGCCACAGATCATTGTAACTAAATAAGGTATTCTTCTGTAGCTGCAGATGCTTTTGTGAGTTTGGCATGGAGAAGGGCAGTAGGACTTTCCTACCCGACTTAAGATCCCTTCATATGCAAAGGCTCTGTGGCAGGTGGGGGGTCTAGTTATACAAAGGAATGAACTAGAGCCAGTGTGGCTGGAGCACATGGAGCCAGATGTGGGTGGAGGAGTTAGCAGGATTACCCATGCCCGACTAATTTTTTTGTATATATATTAGTTGGCCAATTAATTTCTTTCTATTTATAGTGTTAGGGACCGGCTTCCTGACCCGCCAGGCGACGAACAAGACACCAAGGATGCAATCACTCAAGAGGAGCTTTATTTCTGGCTAGCCAGGTCCAGGCCTAGGTGCCAGCGCAGTGGTCGCTCTTACAGCAAGGACCCTGACCAAGCTGGGGTGCCTTTTATCCCCCTCCTTTGAAAACCCGCGTGCACAAGCTGATGTGCGTGTTAGTCTTTAAAATGATTGGTGGAGCGTAGCCCGCAGCGGCAAGGGGCCTTTCTCCTTACTGGCACCGTACCTATGCGTCTAGCTCGCAAGCAAGCGATTCTCAGAAGCAGAATTATGCGTTTGCCGATAGCTCTACCTTTGGGCCCCAAGCTAGCGTTTCAAAGCCGATTACTCTCCCCTGGGCCAATTTTCTGTTATCGGGCTCGCACAAGTGAGCCAGCAGCTTTGGCTGCAACCAGGCCCTTACAGAGTAGAGAAGGGTCTTGTCTTGTCAGACTGGTTTCGAACTCCTGACCTCGAGCAATCCCCGCCTCGGGCTCCCGAGTGCTAGGATTACAGGCGTGAGCACCGTGCCTTCCCTCCTTCCTTCCTTCTTCCTCCTCCCTCCCTCCTTCCTTCCTTCCTTCCTCTCTTCCTTCCTTCCTTCCTTCTTCTCTTCCTCCTTCTTCCTTCCTTCTTTCTTCCTCTCCTTCTTCCTCTTCCTTCCTTTGTTTCTTTTGTTTTTGTTTTTTGAAACAGGGTCTTGCTCTGTCACCTGGGCAACACTGCAGTGGCATCAGCCTAGCTCACAGCAACCTAAACTCTGGGCTCAAGCGATCCTCCTCCTAGCCTCCCAAGCAGCTGGGACTACAGGTGCATCCACCAACCCGCCTGGCTAATTTTCCTTTTTTTTTGTGAGACGGGTCTCGCTCATCCTCAGGCTGCTCTTGAACTCCTGGCCTCAAGTGATCCTCCCTCCTTGGTCTCCCAAAGTGCTAGGATTACAGGTGTGAGCCACTGAGCCTGACCATTTCTCTCCTTTTTTTTTTTTTTTTTTTGAGACAGAGTCTCACTCGGTTGCCAGGCTAGAGTGAGTGAGTGAGTGTCGTGGCGTCAGCTAGCTCACCCGCAACCCAAACTCCTGGGCTCAAGCATCTCCTGCCTCGCCTCCCAGTAGCTGGGACACAGCATGTGCCACCATGCCTGGCTATATTTTGTATATATTTTAGTAGGCCAATTAATTTCTTTCTATTTTAGTAGAGACAGGTTCTCGCTTGCTCAGGTGGTTTCGAATTCCTGACCTTGAGCTATCTGCCCACCTTGGCCTCCCAGAGTGCTAGGATTACAGGCGTGAGTCACCACGCCCAACCCCGTATTCTCTTTTTCAACATCACCTGCCATCTGCCTTCAGGGTCTTACAGTAAAGATTGAATGAACTTAATCGGTACAACTTGATTGGCTGAGAGACTTGATTGACACAATTCATGTCTTACAGCCGCCTCGCTCATCAAAGGTCATGGCCAATGAATGGATAAGCTCCATTGGAGCTGAGTGTCCTCTCAAGTTCAATCGGCTATAGCCAACAGGTAGACAGGTCACGTGATTGAGTCCTTGCTGCCCCAGAGCAATTTCCTCCAAAGGGAGATAGGCAGGGCATGCAAAAGGTGAACAGCTCTAGAAACTGGACCCCAGGGAATACTGAGTAATATACTGTACTCACCTCACGTATTGTACACTCAAGTCTATACACCCACACTTAAACATACCATGTATATACACACTCCTGAAATACACAATATGCACACACACCATGTTCACAACCACTTATGCATGTATTATACCACCTTTTGGCCACATATTTGCACACCCAGACCTTACAACGCACACTTGTCCACTGTATGCACACAATTTTGACATACCGTATATACAAAATGTATGATTATTACAATACGTACACGCGTATACACAGCCACTGGTAGCACACCCACCTATGAACACAGTGTGTTCACACCTGCGTAAACACACTAGAGTCAGACCATCACACACATATGCAAGTGTGTACCAAGTATTACACACACGCAGTGAACCCATGCCACGTACGCCCGACAATGCCTGCGCACACAGCGCCCCGGCACCCGCCCCCAGCTACTCGCCTGCTTTCCCTCCCCAACAGCATGATCAGCACTCACCTTTCTTCCCATGGCCCATGTCGTCCTCTTTGTCTAGGCTTCCACCATATCCACCTTCAGCAGCGGTGGCGAGATGCAGCCTCCGTCAGTGGGCGTCACATGCGCCGGGCCGAGGCCAGCGCCACCGGGCCGGCGCTCTGGACGTCAACGCCATCGGGCGCCTGGGGACCAGATGGGCCAGTACGCGCTGTAGCCCTGGCAAGGCGAAGGCGGCGGCTTCATCCTCCCAGATGCCGCTTCTGGCCCCATCTCCGAATCGCCTCCCGGTGCTGCACAGCTCCAACGGACAGCGTTGTCTTCTGGCGAACTACACCTGACGACTGGATGGAGGAGGTCCGCCACATCCCGGCAAGTACGTGCGCTTCACGGCTACCCCTGCTCCTGGCACTTCTTACCTACCACTGCGCCCCGAGATCTCCAGGAGTTCACGCTGCACGACCACGTGCGCGAGGGGCCCAGCGTTCCTGCACCGCTGCGGCGTCAACGCGAGCTGGCCAGGCACCTTCGTGGGGTCCACGTGCGCCGGGGGGACTTATGTGCACGTCATGCCAAATGTGTGTGGAAGGGTGGTAGCGAACCGGCGCTACCTAGAGCAGGCCATGGACTGGTTCCGGCCCGCTACGGCTCCCCAGTCTTCGTGGTCACCAGCAACGGCATGACTGTGCCGGGCAGAACATCGACACTCCCTGGCGACGTGGTGTTCGCTGGCGACGGCATTGAGAGCTCGCCTGCCAAGGACTTCGCCGCTGCTGACGCAGTGTAACCCACACATCATGACCATCGGCACGTTGGGATCTGGGCGCCTATCTCGCTGGAGGAGACACCATCTACCTGGCCAATTACACTCTCCAGACTCTCCTTCCTCAAAATCTTTAAGCCAGAGGCAGCCTTCCTCCCCGACGTGGGTGGGGATCCCGCAGACCTGTCCCCCTTACTCAAGCACTAGCGCTAGCCTGTCCTTAGCACTCCTCTACTGGAAGCCTTCTGTCTCTAACCTACCTTTGTGCAGAGCCTCCAGGACAGGGGTCCTCAAACTTTTTAAACAGGGGGCCAGTTCACTGTCCCTCGGACCGTTGGAGGGCCATTGGAGAGTGTGGCGCACATTCCACACATGCGCATTGTGGCCCAGGAAGAGTCAGTCCGCTGCTAAGGAGGACAGGCAGCCGAGGCACAAAAAAACAAAACAAAAAAAACACAAAAACACCCCGGGGGCCGGATAAATGTCCTCAGTGGGCGCATGTGGCCTGTGGGCCGAAGTTTGAGGATGCCTGGTCCAGGATATGCTACTATTAAAGCCTGCTCCTGAGAAAGAGGGGTTTTTTTTGTTTTGTTTTGTTTTTCTTTGAGACAGAGTCTCACTCTGTTGCCCAGACTAGTGCCGTGGCTCAGCCTAGCTCACAGCAACCTCAAACTCCTGGGCTCAAACAATCCTTCTGCCTCAGCCTCCTGAGTAGCTGGAACTACAGGCATGCGCCACCATGCCCGGCTAATTTCTTCTATATATTTTTAATTGGCCAATTAATTTCTTTCTATTTTTAGTAGAGAGGGGATCTCGCTCTTGCTCAAGCTGGTTTCGAACTCCTGACCTTGAGCAATCTGCCTGCCTCTGCCTCTCAGAGTGACATATGTTTTCATTTCTGTAGGAATAATACCTAGGAGTAAGGTCTGCTGTGATATCCGAGAGGAGAAGTGATTAGTCCGGAGTCCCCAGTGAGGAAGGGCTGGAGGTCTGAATGCAAGTCTGCCACGGAAGATGGTTTTCTGGCCCAGGAGGAGGAGACAGGCTTGCCATCTAGAGCAGGAAGGTTCAGGGTTCCCATTCCCCCTCTTGTCCTCCCAGGAGTTCAGCCACCTGCCCTGGCCCTCGGGTCCTCATGGCCAGCCTGCCCCGTGTCTGGGAGTCCCCACTATCCACCAGGAGGGAGAAACGAGATTTGGGGAACAGCATAGGTGACAGCCCCACAGACCAAGAAGAGGAAAGCTGCACAGCCCCGGGCGGGATGCGACCCTGGTGTGCTGATGGAGGGCACATGGGTGGCCACAGGCGTTTGGCAAAGTAGTCCAAGTCAAAGGATCCGGTCTGACCTCCTGGTGGCCCCGCCCCGGTTTTCCCGAGGGCAGGAAGGAGGAACGAAATCTTCGGAGAAGGAAAGAGCGACAGAGGGCAGTGCGGGGAGCACACCCTTCCCTGGGGCTCGGGTCCCGCAGACACAGGCCAGGCGCCAGCCGCAGTCACATCCGCCCTGGCTCTCGCGAGGGCCCCGCGCGCCCTCGGCTCACGGCCGCCCCCTGCTGGGCGCGGGAGATGAGGGCGGCGCGCCGGCAGCGGGGCGGGGACCTGGCGCCGAGACAGCGGGAGGGGCGGGCACAGACTGCAGGGGCCCCAAGGCGTGGGGACCGAGCCAGCGGGGAGAGACCAGCCAGGGGCAAGTCGGAGAGAGACGAGGAAGAGATACAGACAGAATAAATGGAGGCAGAGTCAGGCGGAAATGGGGACAGGGAGTGGCCTGAGTCAGGCAGAGATGGGGACAACCCCGCCACACCCTTCCTGATCCTTCCAGGGCTGGCTGTCCCCTCCCCACCAGTTTCTAGCCCAACCCCGCAGCAGCCCCCACCTCCCGCCAGCCAGACTCCACAGGGCTCCCAGTCGCCAGCGACCTTCCCAACTTCAGATCTTTGCAGGTTCTCTTCCCTCTGCAAGGAGGCTGTCTTCCAGGAGGTCCCTCCAACCAACTCCTCCTCCTCCTCCTCCTCCTTTAAGTGTCAGCAAAGATGCTTTCTCTGACCACTTTTCCCCACTCCTTCCCTCTTCTGGGAGTGGGGGACCCACAGTCCTTTGTGCCGCTGCCACTAATATACTTATGACACTGCACTGTGGCTCTCTCTCTGTTTGCAAATCTCTGGGCTTCAGAAGAGCAGAGAGTGAGACTTTTGGTTTTCTCTCTACTGAACCTCATTTAAATCCCCACTTACGACAATCCCCAAATGTGTGGCACTGGGCATATATGTCACTCCCTTTCTCTAATCTCCAGTCATCTCATCTGGAAAGTGAAGGTGACAAATCCCACCTGATTGGTTTGGAAAACTCAAGATTGCTTTTGCCTCCTGATAATAACATACCATTCATTCCCTTCCCTTTTTGGTTGTAGATCTCTGAGGTCCACCAGAGTTCACACACATGGAGGTGCTAGAATTGTCCATCAGCAGCTAATAAATGGTGACTGATATTTACCTGCACATCCCACGTGCCGGGGGCCAGTTTGTGGACAGTCTTGGTGAGCACTCTCACCCACACTGGGCTGAGGTATAGATGAGGAAACTGAGGACAAGAAGTCACTGGCTCTAGGTCATATCCCACATGTGTGATCTGCTGTTCTTTTGCACCTACAGTGGACACTGTCACAATGTCGGTGGCCCTCCCAGGTCCCCTCAGATTCCTCTTATCAATTCTGTGCACCAAGCCCCCAATTTTCTCTGTGTGTTTGGTGTATTAATCATGCCTTTTTATTTTCTGAATTTCTGCTGCTTTGACGTCTCTGGGCCTTCCTCACACCGTGGGGACTGCCCCTCCCAAGGCTAGTGGCAAGAGAACTCACTGTGAGCACGCCTTTTTTGTGCAAACCAACCAATCAGAGCCAAACCAACCAGAGCCCACACCCTGCTAACTTAAAAATTAAAAGATTTATAAATTTGGAGAGGAGAGTTTTATTTTTTATAAAGGGTTACAGCCTGAAAAATCAGTCTCTTGTCTAATTAAAGTTGTGGTTATGGGTTGTGGAAGAGGGGGTGGGGTTCAGTGTCTGGCAGTGAGCTTTAAATTATTCAATATTGCTCATTTTGAGGCCAGTGTTTGTTTAGCTGTTAGAGAAAAAGAAAAACCTTGTAGCAGTTAGAACATAGTTTATTTTTGAAGTGTAGGGGGTGCATGACTTAGCCCTTGCCTGGCATGGCCTTAGGTCTTCTTTTGTTTGGTATCTTATTGCACAGTCCATTCTGCTAGTCTTATGATCTCTATTTTAACATTAATGCTGTTCAATTGTTGGGTCTAAACTCCAAAAAGGAGGGGGTGTAATGAAGAATGCCTGACCTCCTGTCCTGTCATGGCTGAGAACTCAGTTTTTCAGGTTTCTCTGGGGTCCTCTTTGGCCAAGAGGGAGTTCCATTTAATGGTTGGGGGGCTTAGGATTTTATGTTTGGTTTACAATCCCAACCACCTCCTTTATTAGTTCTTACATTCTGAGCCACTACCCACCTGTGCTAATTACCCCGGGACCAGACACCAGAGTACTCAGGACAGTCTCTATGTGCAGGGCATGCTGAAATTATTGAAACTAGCCTATCCTAAACCTGCTTACCTTGCCTCATCCTTTCCTTCCCCTAGAAACTACAACAAAGTCTCTCACCCATGGTCCCTTCCTTTCCCTGTCTCCTGACCAACCAGTACTTCCCATGTGGCCCTTGATAGCATAGGTGTCCCCTACCTTTGGGATCTGTGAGTTTAACAAACTCTCTTTGCAATGGAGACCATCTTCTGATCTGATGGTCTTGTCTTACCTGAATAATAATAAAACCCACATTTTAGAACACTTTGCTGCCAATGGCTTACCCTGTGACCTTCCCAGAACTGCCCTGGGGCTGGAGGTACGATGGCCCATGACTGACTAGAGGTGGGGTAGTGAGAAGTCTCTGAATATGGCCCCCAGTGACCAAACCCTTGATATTCACACAACCCTCCCACATTCAGCCTGCACTGGCTTGACTTGCCTTAACCAATAGGACATAGTTGGTGGAAGTGACATTGTGCCAGTTCCAAGCCTAGTCTTTAAGAAACAGGTAGCTTCTGCTCTCTCCTCTTGGAATGCTTGCTCTTGGGAGGACTGAGCTACCATGTAAGAAGTCTCCTGTTGGAGACACCACACAGAGAGGGACAGCGCTGATGCTGCCTGGGGAATGAGACAGGTCCAGATGTCTCTACAACCCAGCTGGGTCCATCCTTCTAGCCATCCCCACCAAGTTGTCTGACACATCTTAGTGCACCATCTTGGATGTTCCTGCCCAGTTGGGCCCTGAGTTGACTGCAGCCCTAGCCAACATCATGTGGAGCTGAAGAACTGCCCTGCTGAGCCCAGTCAACCAACCCATGCAATTTTGAGTGATCATAGATAGTTATTGTTTTATGACTCTAAGTTTTGGGGTGGTTTGTTGTTCAGCAATCATAAGCCCAAATGGGGAGACACAAAGGCCCAGTCCTATGTGCCTCGGGGTGGGAAAGACTGTGTAACTTAATTTATGCTCCAGAGCTCCTCACATAATCAGGCTGAGTTTGGGACTTCACCTGAAGTTGCTTCTTGCTCTTCTTCTTCCCCTTTGCTGTCCCGTTTCCCCAACTCCCTTAATGGTTTCTCCTAGGAGCATTTCTTTAATAAATCACTAGCACATGAATCTTGTGTCAGGTTCTGCTTCCAAAAGAAGCTAACTTCTGACACGAGGCTTCTGATTTCTCATCTCCAACTAGAACCCAAGGGTCTGGCTCCCCTGGGGAGGGGGCCCCAGACTTCCCTGCTCCTCTTCTGCTCATCACCACCTTCCAGGCTCCCCAGACAACAGGCAGCTATCTACTGGGTGGCAGGGCTGGGGGAGGTGGGGATAAAAACATCCATGAAGTCTCTGAAGAAAGCAGCAAGCAGCTTGTTTGCCCTGGCCATACAACCATGAACAGGGGTATATGGTCAAGCAGGCAAAGTTCAGGCAGTCCAGGGCCAGGTGGGGATGGGGCTTTTCTCTGATCCTCTGTCAGTAGGAGGAGCTCTGCTGGATGATCCATCCCCACCCTTGGGGAGTCTCTCTTTGTGACCTGTCTACCCCCACCAGTTCTTAGTCTCTGGAAGCCCTAGAATCCATCACCATGGATCCTCCAGCAAGTCCCACAGCCGGGTGCTACTGGAGTCAGATAAGTCAGCAGAGAAGATGCTGGGGGCTGGGGGGCCAGAGCCCAGTGGAGGACCCCCACTCAGGGCCTCCAGCCAGTCCAAGGAGTCCGTGGGGCCTCTGGGAGAGGGGGATGAGGAATTCGAAGGGGACGGGAGCAAAGAGGAGAAGACAGATGAGAGGCCTTCAGAGTCCGGGGAGGGGGACAGCACGTTGAAGGAGCAGGGGAAGTCCAGGGGCATGGGGGGCAGCTTGTCTGCAGGGAAAAGAATGGGATGTGAGCGTAGGAAGTTAGGGATCCAACGCCAGCCTTCTATTCCTCATTTCCAGGAGTCCAGTTTCCCAGCCCACTCCTCCCTCGGAAGCAGGAGCCCAAAACCTTAGCCTCCCCCTCCCCCAGATCTAAGAGTTGGGCCCTTACCATCAGGCTCCACCTGATCCTCCAGGATGTCATCGATGCCCCGGTTCGGAAGCAACTGCGGATGGGCAGACTGGGCATGAACCCGGGACTCCGGTCTGGAACCTGACCGGAGACCCCTAGCCCGGCTTCGACCCGCACCCCCTCACCTGCGCCCTTCGGATCGCCTCCTGCAGCTCCTCCTCCAGAGTCAGGGCCGCTGCGGTCGGTGCTGAGGAAGATGTCAGGGCTGGAGCTGCAGCTGGAGCCGGAGCCGGAGTTGGAGCCGGAGCTGGAGTGGTCACAAGGGTGTCCCCAGCATTTGGAAGAGGTGGCCTGAGAGAGGCTGGATTTGACTTGCCCTAGAACCGCCAGGGCCAGAACCTATAAGCCACGCCCACCGGGCGAAACCCCACCTACTAGCAATCTTTGGCTCCACCCCTTGGTCCTGTCCCAGCCCTTTGCTTGAGGAACCCTTTTTTGGCCTCGCCCCCTGTTCTGTCATTGACTTCTTCTCCCTAAAGGTCCGCCCCTCCGTTCCTCTGAGCCACGCCCCCTCGCTTTCACCGCTTCTTTCCGCAGGGCCACGCCCCCACACCTCATTGGCTACTCTTTTCCGACTCCCCGCCCTGTCCCACTTTGCCTTCTCCCCATTGGTCCACAAGCACACAGCCCCGCCCTCACCGAGCCCTGCCGCCGGGCAGCTCCCAGAGTTTTAGGCCTGAGGCGCGGCCAGGGAGCACGCGCGGGACTGTCCTCGCGCCGCGGTTTCACCCGCTCGCGGGGCGGGGCGCCGCCGCGCATGCGCTCCAGGAGCATGGCCTTGGTCCCGGACACAGGGAGGCCCCGCAAGCGCAGCTGCTGCCGGAGCTCGGAGACCTGGGGAGGGGGTAGGGAGAGGCGGTGCTGGGCGGGCTCCCGGAGCAGGCGGGAGTCGGCAGGATATATGGAACCGAGAACAGAGGGATTGGGGGCCTGGACTCCTGGGACCCTAAAAAGAATGGGACTGGGGATCCGATCTCCCGGATTTCCAGTGGAGCAGAGGCCGCCCACGGGGTCAGACTCCTGGGCCCCACCGAAAGAAAGCGCGAGCTCGGGAAGTCACGCCCCAAACTCACCGTCAGCTCCTCCAGTTTAAGGGTCTGAAGTTCCAACTTGTGTGGAGGAGGCGAGGGGCTGGGGGCTCCTGGCGGGGAGGGAGTGAGGGGAGTGGGCTTCATCCTGGCGATAGTAGTGACGGGGGACAAAGGTTAGATGGGGCACGGGGAGAAAAGGCGTACTGGGGTCCTCAAAGACAGGGGCTGGAGAAGATGCAGGAAGGTGATGGCCCAGAATTCTGGGTCTCCGACGGAGCAAACACATGGGGCTAGATTTCTGTGCATGGCAGGCGACGGGGGAGGAAATGGGAGCTCGGACTCTTGGGTCTGCAGGGACAGGGCCTGGGAGACTGGACTCTTGAGTCCTGGGGAGGGCAGAGGATTTCGAGCCAGACTCCTCTGGTCTCGGGCTCTGGGTTTGAGGGACGAGAATGCTAGGACCTGAATTTCTGGGTCCTGGGAGAAGAGAAACAGGAGTCATACCTAGGATGTGGCTGCTGTGGGTTTGTCCCTTCCCACAGAGGTGGCCTGGGAGGACCCAGGGCTGACCCCTCTTCGGCTTGGGGGTCTAACCTGGATCCTTGTCTCGGTTCTGGGGGCATGTACTGGTGGTTCATCAAATTCTCCCTGGGCTTGGACTCCCTCCAACGCTGGGAGACCTTGAGAGACTCCTGAAAAAGCAGGTATGAGGTGCTGTGACTCAGAGCCACAGGCAAGGTGTGGGGTCAGCTTGGCATCGCCAGAGAAGAGCAAAGGGGCAGCAGCAAGGGGGACCAAAGCTAGACTCTTAGAAGGACTTCTCACTCCAGTGGAAACTCACCTTCTTTGGAGACCTCCAAGAACAATATTCTGGCTCAGGGAGCAGGACCCCAGGGCTGAAGAGGAAAGGGGCAGGGCCCGAGGCCGAGGCTGGAGCAGGAACTGGGCCTGAGGCTGAGATCCACGGGTCTGGATCGGAGACTGGAGAGGCACCAAAGGACCCTGAGAGGCCTGCAGGCAGCAGGCCAGGCAGGGAGGAGCAAGGCTGTGCAGAAAGGAGGCGCCCGCATGCGGGAGCCCGGCCCAGGGAGCAAAACCCAAGTGGTGGGAGCTGGTTGCTGGGACTCCTGGATCTGAGGGCCAAGGCGCTGGGAGCCTAGATTTTTACATTCTCAAGAAAAGCAGAAATGATGTGGGTCACCAACGGGGGTGTGGTGGCTGAGGATCGCAGATATCTGGAGTTTGCTGGGACAGGGGTGGGGCCTGCACTCCTGGTTCTCGGGAGAGGGAAACGCTGAAAGCCACATCCTGAGCTTCTTATCTGTGCCAAGAGTGGTCTGGGCACCTCTCTTCCCCAGAGAAACAGGATCTGGATTCAGGCATCTCCTTGGGGTGGGAAAGCTTGAGGAGCAGGAAGCAGGGCTCCTGGGGGGCGGGGGGACCTGGACTCCTGGGTCCTTGGGAAAGGACAGGATGGGATTTCAGGCTGTCCTGGGGCATAGGGACTGAGATGCAGGAACCAGTGAGGGCTATGTGGCAGCTGTACTGCAGGGTGTCCCAGGGGAGTGGGGCCACCATCCCCTCCCTTTCAGGGCCCACACTTACTCGGGTCCTGATTGCGTCTGTGGATCCGAAGCTGGAGGACTGTGGAGAGAGGAGGGAGGTGGGAGGAGGAAGGCGGGAAGGGAGTGTCCAGGAGCCTGGCCCAGAGCCTCAGTTGTTGGCGGAACACTCGTGCCCAGCCCCCTTACACACCCGGAGCAGGAGCAGGCGGGTGGGCGGGCAGCCTGCTCCCTTTCCTGGGCCTCCTGCCTGCTCCCTGCCAGCGCCTCGGGCCTGAGCCATTCTGGGGCTAGAAGCCAGGTTGCCGGCAGGAGGCAGCCCTGGCCCTGGCTCCACCTGCCCGCTTCACGAGCCTGTGCCCACCCCACCCACCTCTGGCACAGTTGCCATCTTGGCAGCTTGGCACCATTTGCACCCCGCTTTGCACTTGCCTGCTCCCGTGCTACCTCTGGGTCTTCCCCTAGTCGCCCCTTTCTGCACACGCACCCTTTAAGCACTCAGCTCCCTGGGCTCTAGTTTTGCACACCTGCCACTTTTGTGCACTCATGCATTTTTACACACTCTCCGTGCTTGGCTCATTCTGCCTCCACACCCACCCAGCCATGTCAACGCTTTCACTTGCACACTCAGGACTTGCCCCCCAGTTTGGAGCAAGGATTTCCCTTTGCACACTTCTATGCACATGTGTACCTTTTTGCACACCTCTTGCTCTTTGGTTACTGGTGAGTTTGTACTCACCCAACCATGTAAGCACACTCGTTTGCACTCAGGTACCTTTTACCTACTCAGTGATTCACCCCCAGTTCTATCCACTTACACACTTTCCGCTTGCCCTGGGACCTTAAACGGGACTTTTGACACTTTCAAGCCTTGATAGCTCTTTGTCCTCACACCTGCACTCCCACCTGGTCCTCCAAAGTCCCAACTCTGCCCGCTCCTCCGCTTTGCACACGTGTTCAGCTTAAGCCCTTGTTCCTTTGCAGTGCCTGGTCCTCTTCACGCCCACCCCTAGCCACCCACTCCCCGTTGCTCCCCTGAGCATTGCACTAGCCATTTGCACACTCATTGATCCTCCACAACCTGATCCCTTTGCTGGGGCGTCCTTTATGCAAAGTGACCTTTTGCACAGAAAACACGTGCCTCCTGGGTCCCTTCCCACCCCCACCCCAGACTGGATCATTCTCAGGAAGCAGGATGGGACGCCCTTCCCCCCACCCCCACCCATGGAGAGAAGCCTCTCACCAGATCGGAACTTGGAGCGAATGATTTGTGAGCGCTGGGAGGAAGCCGCCAGGGTCATTGTCAAGGCTGGGGTGGGACCTGGACTGGGAAGAGGGCAGGGTCAGAGTGGAGGTCAAGAAGCTGCCCCTACATGTGAACTCAGCAGGGAAAGAGCCAGGAGTTAGGGATAGGAGTGGCCGTGGGCCACAACTTCTGGATTCCAGGGGGGAACTGGACTCCTGGTCTGAGAAGGAACTGAGGGCCCCAACTCCTGGATCCTGGGAGAGGAGGGACCTGGGGCCCAGGGCTCCTGGGACCTGGGGAGGGGGCACGGGGGTCGGGACTCTTGGGTCTATGAAAGGGAGAGAGGAGCGGCGCCTGGACTCCTGAATCTTGGAGGAGAAGGGGGTTAAGGGCGAATTCAGTACTCTGAAGAGACTAGATCCTGGATGGGGAGGGGAAGGAGGCCTGACAGGTCTCTGGGGAATAGAAGGGTCCCTGCGACCTGCATCTGAGAAGGAAATGATTGGGGTGTCAGCCACCAGGGGCTGTGGGAAAGGGGCTGGGACCAGAGAAGTGACAGAAGAGTTAAGCAGGGTCCCCCCTCCACCCTAGGGGCTTCTCACCAGGTGGGCTCGGCGCAGCTGTGCTCTGGGACTGGTCGAGTCCCGTGGTCTAGGCTGGACACTGCAGGCTCCGCCCACCAGCGTGGGACCGCCTCGAACCCCCCTTCCCGGGGCGTGCCGGGAGCCCATGGAGGGGGGGGGACAGGAGCCCCGCCTGGGACCCTGAGAAGGGGCGGGAGCACGCGCCGAGGAGCGGGGTGGGAGGGGGCGGGGCAGATGTCGGGGTTCCTGGCTCGCTCCTCCTGCGTCCTGGGACTGTGCGGTGGGGTGGGGCGGAGCAGCGGAGTGACAGAAGCAGGTGCCAGGAGAGGGGCGTTGCGTGAGCAGCAGCAGCAGGTGGTCGTGTCCCGGCCTTGCCGGCAGGTGCCACCTGTCACCTACTTTTTCCCTGACGCAGCAACAGGAGTCAGGTTCAGTGGAGTGAAAGGTTCAAATTGGGGCCCGATCTCCTGGGTTTGAAAAAAGAGGCAGGGGCCAGGACTCTTGAGTCTGCGGGAAGAGGGGCCTGGGAGCAGGGACAGAGGTGTCGGGACTCAGCGGTGTGCCCGACGGGCAGACAGGTCCCAAAGCGGCCCGAGACTCAGACTCCTGGGTCTGAGGGAGGAGGGGCTGGAGCATGGACTTTGGGGTGGGAGGGAGAGACGGTGGTTCCCACTAGCAGGACTGAGAGCCTGAAATTCGGCAGAGCAAGCTTGGGGCTGTGTTCCCAGGCGTATGGGAGGCTCCAGCGCTCCTGGGTTGGATTACATGCAAGAGGGCAAGCTGAGGCCGAGGCTATAAATACCTCCTTGGACTAGGCATGGACCCAACGCTCCAGGCCAGGGCCCTGGTACCTTATTGCACAGAAAACTCTCATCACTAGCGCACCCGAGTCTTAACAATAGAGGCGTTGCCAATACCACAAATATCTTTATTGCTCCTTGGCACTCACATTCCAAGCCTATCTTCCCACCTTCCCTCCACTCCCCGAAAACTCAGACTCCCAGCATTGCATGCAGGACGAAGAACTACAACTCCCAGAAAGCTCTGCGCTCAGGCGGGCCCCAGTCAGTAGGAGCCCCCATGAAGTTTCAAGGTTCGCGCGCTCGCTGGCTATTGGTTCTCAAGGAGGCGTGACCACGGGAGGCCCGTGGCGGTGATTGGCCGGCAGCTCCTGCTGCTCAAGATCCCAGAGGAGGCGGCGGAGCCTGCGCAGTTCACGGTGCAGGGCGTCGTCCGTCACCGGGCCGGTGAGGCGCAGGCGAGAACTGCCCAAGGGCAGGATGAGGGGAGGGTGCGATGAGAAGCTTTCGAAGATGTCCCCTGAGGCCGAAGGAGATGGGGTTAGAGTCTAAAAATGGGCGTGAGGCGGCTGAGTCGGGGAGAGCCGAGGCTGCATCACGCCCAAAGGAAGAAAAAACTTCAACCCCCAGCAACGCCCGGAGCAGGGTCCACCCAAACCAACTCTTGGAGTCCCCAAGCATGATGGGAGTAGTAGTTCAGACCATGAAAAGCCACCGTTGCCTTGGAAACGGGCGACGTAGTTGGGTCCCTAGGTCTGGGAGGGAGGGCTGGGAACTTAGTCTTAAGAAGGTGGAGGGTCCCGAGCCGGGACTCCTAGGACAGGTGGGTGGGTGGTTGTGGAGGGAAGAGGCTGGGAGCGTGACCTCTGAGAAAAAGGAGGGATCTGGGGACTTGAACTCCTGTATCTTGGGAGACAGGGGGCTGAGTCCAGCACTTAGGTCTGGGGGAGGGGAGGGCTAGGGGTCCAAAATCCTGGACTAGAAGGAAGAGGAGGGTGGAAAACAGGAACTCCCGGGTACTGAGGAAAGAAGAAAGCTGGCAACCCCAATGTTTGTCTCCCCACTTCTGCTCACCTGTGTCCACCGCATCTCGCTCTGCGGGGGGAGGGTCCCAGGCAGGTGGTGGCCCACGGCCGGGCCCCAGCTGGTAGTGGCTGAGCAGGTGGTGGAGCTGAGCAGGGGTCAGTGTGGGGTGGTCAGTTCGTAGGCTGCTCCATGAGGCCTGGTGGGAAGAGCAGGCGAGAAGTGGTCATGATGGGGCGGCTGAGAATCATGGCTGGACGGACATCCATGAAGGGAGTGGACGTGGCGGGCACATAGTGGGGTCTGTGCAGTGTCTTCTGGGCACTGTGAAACCTGTTTGTCAGGGAAGTGATGGTGGGGAAGGGTGTGCTCTCAGCAATTTTTTAAAATGTGGTTTGCTTCAAAATAAATGAAGAGGCTGGGCGCGGTGGCTCACGCCTGTAATCCTAGCTCTCTGGGAGGCCAAGGCTGGCGGATTGCTGGACGTCAGGAGTTCAGACCCAGCCTGAGCAAGAGCAAGACCCTGTCTCTACTATAAATAGAAACAAATTAATTGGTCAACTAATATATATAGAAAAAATTAGCCGGGCATGGTGGCGCATGCCTGTAGTCCCAGCTACTCGGGAGGCTGAGGCAGGAGGATCGCTTGAGCCCAGGAGTTTGAGGTTGCTGTGAGCTAGGCTGACGCCACAGCACTCACTCTAGCCTGGGCAACAAAGTGAGACTCTGCCTCAAAAATAAATAAATAAAATAAAAATAAATGAAGATATAGGAAGTGGGTGAGGGTGGAGAAGAAACAAGATGGGCCATTAGTTTATATGATTGATGACTTACTACCTTCAGGCAAGTCACTGTGCCTCATTTCCTCATCTGCGAATTGGGCCAATAGGAACTACCTAATAGGGCTGTTATGAGGATGCAATATGGTAAGATTGTAAAGTACTTGGAACACTGAGACTTATTAAATACACTGTAAATGATTGATAAATATAAATAAATGTAAGCACTTCTAGATTGAAAAGAGATGTCTGCTTGAGATCTGGGGGTAAAAGGGAGGGGAATAGATTGAAAAGAGAGAAGAAAAGAAAAACAAACAAAAAAAAAGTAAAAATAAACAAATGAAATCAAGTGAACTATCCCACTTGATTCGCAGTTTCCTCATCTGAAAAACTGTCAATTAATGACCTACTAGAAGTGCTAAACACAGTGCTTGGCATATAATTTATGTTCAATGCATGTTTTACCAACACACTACTTGGTCTCACACCAGACTTCCTGACTCAGCATGCCTGAGGGAGGGACCCTGGAAACTGTTTTTAATAAGTTCCACTGGGATTGAGACATAGCCAAGTTTGGTCATCGTTGGTGCTGGCTTCTTTCTAGCTGCCAATGCATCTCCCACAGTGTCTGAGCTGGGGCAGGGATGACATGGGGTTCAGGGTGGCATTGAGGAGCCAGAGTTCAGGGTTGGGTACAGCTGACTGAGGGTCACCTTGAGCAGGGAGGTGCGGGGCACACAGAGCAGGTTCACAGCCATGGAGAGTTTCCGGAAGAACTCAGTGGCAATGTCGCCCAGCCCAGCTCCCTGTAGCCAGTCCAAGACAAGGTCCAGGTTGGTTCGGATTTGGACAGCTCGGGACCATTGATAGAAAGGTCGGCCTTGACCTGTGATGGAAGTGTATTAAGGCTATGAGAGGCAACGGATGGGTGGACTCTGTCCTCCTGCCACCCAGACCATTTCTGTCCTTCAGCTTGGACTCCTGTCTTGGCCTCCGTGACAGGCTCCCCTCCCCCAGCCCAACCCTCACCTCTTTCCATCAGTGAGTTGAGAAGGGAGGCATTGGAGAAGAAGAACAAGTAGCCGAAAGTCTGAGACACGAGGTCTGGGTGCAGTTCGCACTGGCTGGTCAGTTCCAGGGCTGCCTGGAACACGCCCAGGGTAGGTCTCAACCCCGGAGGCATGGCCCCCAGCTCTGCACCTGGCCCCGGCAGCTCTGCCCCAGCTGTGAAAGGGTTACTATCCAGGAGAGCAGGCAGTGTTGAATACAGAGTCTGAGGAGATACAGAGGTGCAAACAAATGGTTAGACAACTCTCTGGAACCTTCAGGGTGATAGAGTGTGAACATAATGGGGGGCTTCCCAAAGGTTTCTGGGAGTTGTAGTCCAACTACATTCAATATCCTAAGGTTCTCCATGCAGAAATCCCTACTTTGTAGATGGATTTCTAGCATTTGTTAGGCCTGAAACAAAAGGCTTTCTATAAGTTTCTTGGGTCTTTTAAAACCACCTTTCGTGCACTATGGGACTTGTAGTTCTCAGCAGAAACAACTAAAGGAGAACAAAGGATACTCAACAAGGAGGCCCCCTTTAGTCAAAGAATTATCATCCAGAGTTCCGGAAGGAAAGACAAAGAATGGAGAGTCAGGAAGTGAGAGTAGGGTGGCAGTTGGCCAGTGGAAAGTGAGATCAAGTCAAGGACAGGAAATGAGGTCAGAGACAGAGAAGACATGAAACCACACTTGGCAGGGATGTGAAGGGAGTGAAGACTTGGAGGAAAGGGCTTCACAAACATGGCTGCTCAAGGAACTTAGGGACTATCCGTCCCAAAAGATCGCCTCTCATGTCACAGACAGGGCATCAGGCCCATCACAAGTCAGAAAGTCTGAGAATTCCAAGAAGCAATATTAAGGTCAAGGGTAGTGGCAGGGAACCTGGGGCAGAAAGCAGGCCCTGCAGGAAGGGCACTCAGGGAGAAGGCTCTGTGGTTCAGAAAAGAGAGTGAATTCAGAGCTGTAAGAAAGATCAGGAAAAACAGGAAGTGAGGCCTGATTGAAGAGGACCTTTAGTTTAAATGACAGTTCCTGGCACTATCTGAAGTATCTATATTTTTCTATCTATCTATAAAATGTATCAGTGACTAAAGAGTGGACTTAGAAAATGGGAGATTGAGAAAGTGGTAACAGCGATATAACCAGGCCAGGCGTGGTGGCTCACGCCTGTAATCCTGGCACTCTGGGAGGCAGAGGCGGGCGGATTGCTTGAGGTCAGGAGTTCGAAACCAGCCTGAGCAAGAGCGAGATCCCATCTCTACTATAAATAGAAAGAAATTAATTGGCCAACTAATATATATAGAAAAAATTAGCCGGGCATGGTGGCGCATGCCTGTAGTCCCAGCTACTCGGGAGGCTGAGGCAGGAGGATCGCTTGAGCCCAGGAGTTTGAGGTTGCTGTGAGCTAGGCTGACGCCATGACACTCACTCTAGGCTGAGCAGCTAAGTGAGACTCTGTCTCAAAAAAAAAAAAAGTGATATAACCAGATAATGAGGTCGGCCTGTCAAGTGGTGATGATTACAAAGACAGGAAGTGAAGCCAGAAAGGCAGGAAGTAATGTAAGCTCAAACAGGAAGTGATGTCATAACAGCAAAGTGCTGGGGTGAGATGGGATGTCTTGTCAGAGAAGCAAGAAATCTTGAGTCCAGTAAGAAGTGATATCAGAGCCATATAATGTAGTTTAAGCAGGAAGTGATGCTATATTGAACCGGAAGCAAGGGGCAAGGCCAACCTTGGTGAGGTAGTAGACAGACTGCTGGAAGGTACACATGATGACCTCATCCAGGAGGGCCATGGCCTCATCACATAATTCCAAGTCGCTGCAGAGCTGTGGGTCTGAGGACAGGCCTGGGGATGAGAGGGAGAACCAGAGGCTGGCAGCCAGAAGTCCAGGTCCCCAGGTTCAGGGAATGACAGAGGGCTTGGGCAGGCCTGAGTCTGGGTCAGAGCTCACCCTCCTGGTCAGCCTCCTTCTCCATTTCCATGACCTTCTCCTGCACGAAGCTCAGCAGCTCCGTGGTGTTGGCCATCCACAGCATGAGTGGCCGCAGCTCCACGGACACAGCCTCAGGAGTCAGGGGCACCTCGGGGACCCCCTCAGGGTGGCTGGGGAAAGAGGAAGGAACTGGTGATATCTGCCCAACTCTCGTTAAAGTGTCCAAACCCCATGATCTAAGTCTCAGTTTGGGACAGAGACCCACCCCCACTTCACAGCTGGAAAGGCTGAATCCCAAGGAGGAGCAGAAACTGACACTGAGACATGCATGGGGTAACCCCAGAAATGGATGCACACCCCAACCCCTGCATCTGGCCCGCCCTTTGTGTTCTGCATTTCTCTTACTTTTCTGGTTGACGGTCTCCAATCTCCTTAATCTTTTCCTGTGGAACAGTAAGATCAGAGTCAAGGAGAGAGGGATTCATTTTTTTTTTTTTTGAGACAGAGTCTCGCTTTGTTGCCCAGGCTAGAGTGAGTGCCATGGCGTCAGCCTAGCTCACAGCAACCTCAAACTCCTGGGTTCAAGTGATCCTCCTGCCTCAGCCTCCCGAGTAGCTGGGACTACAGGCATGTGCCACCATGCCTGGCTAATTTTTTCTATGTATATATTAGTTGGCCCATTAATTTCTTTCTATATATAGTAGAGCCGGGGTCTCGCTCTTGCTCAGGCTGGTTTCGAACTCCTGATCTCGAGCAATCGGCCCGCCTTGGCCTCCCAGAGTGCTAGGATGACAGGTGTGAGCCACTGCATGGTGGAGACGGATTCATTGAAGGACTTAGGAGTTAATACCCTGGTTTTTCTAGAAGCACTTTTTTGACAGAGCCTCTCTCCATTTTTCAGATGGACTCTGATCTCAAGCTTCAGAATAGGCTCTCCCTCTTCTTACCCTTTCAAACACCCACCCCTGTGATCCGCAGTAGTGTAGACTGTGGGAAAGGTAGTTTCATCCCACCTGGCTACTAAAGAGGGTTGAAGGTGGTGAGGGGAGGCTGGAGAAAGGACTTGGGGCGCAGGTGGGGCTGCAGGCGGTGGGGGGCGCTCACCCAGACAGCCTCCTTGATGAGTCGGGCCAGGCGGCCCAGCAGGCGGGGCAGGTGGCCTAACTCCAGCTCCCGCGCCGAATGCTGTACGCACAGCGCCAGCAGCGTGGCGGGTCCGAGCGGTGGCAGGTCCCCGGCGCCGGCGGCCGCGGCGCGCACGATCTCGCCCAGTAGCGCCTCCTCCTCGCGGGGCCGGAAGCGCAGGACGGGCTCGCGGCCATCCAAATAGGCGGCCAGCGCCTCGCCGCGCTCCTGCAGGCCGCGGCCACACAGGCGACAGGAGAAGGCCCAGCCAGGGCCCGGCGGCGTGGCCCCGGGGCGCGCGGGAAGCCACGGTGGCCGAGCGGGCCCTGAGCCCCCAGTGCGGGGGTCCTTGTACATGAACAAGAAGTGCTCGCCCATCCCCAGGAGGTCGCCTGGGTGCAGCTCGGCCTCCCGAAGCAGCAGGCACCCGTTGTGCGTGACCGGAGCGCCGCGGGATGGGCGCACCATGGCAGGGGGCTCAGGGCCAGCGCGCACTGTGCAGTGGCGGGGCAGGATGTCTGGGGCGTTGAGGAAGGTGTCCACGTATGGGGCCGGGGACCCTCCACGGCCGGACGAGTTCCCGCCCCGACCGAACACGTGCTGCTCCCTCGTCATCACATACACCACAAAGTCCTGGAGAGAAAGTGAAGGTGCACTAAGGACACCACTCCGCCAGGAATGCTTCCATATAGATCCCTTTCCTACAAGCGACTCGCTCATGCCCGACCTCCTTTGAATGAACAGTTCCAAGGAGATCTCCTGGGACCCCACAGGACTCTCTAAGTACCCCCATCTCCCCTGAGTAGACTTTCTGTGGACTCTTCCAAGGCACTTTCTATGGTAGAACGTCCCATAAAACCCATGGCAAAGTCTAGATACAAGGAGACCTCTTTCTTGACATGGACTCTACCATTTTATTCCCTCAAAGAATAGATCCTTCCAAGAGGATCTTTTTCCAAAGGCCTCTCCCATCTTCTCACCTCTTCCGCATGGACTCTTCAAGGCAATCCCTTCCTACAGGGGACTCCCCCATAACACCCAGCCAAGCAATGGGTGCTCCCAAGGACATCCCCATTTCCAAAATGGACCATCCAATTACCATCACCCTCAAAGAATGGACCTTTCCAAGGAAACTGTCTTTATCCAAGGAACTGCCTCATTTCCCTACCCCTGGCCCCACTCACTTGTCCATTATTCCACTCCCCATCACAGAACTTTCCAAATGCATTCCCCTTTCCAATAATAGTTTTTCTCAATATTCCCAAAGCAGAGAATGGATACCTTTAAAGAGATCTCCCTTTGAACAAAGGTTTCCTTCAATTTGCCCATCCCATGAATTTACACTTCCAAGAATACTCCCTTTCTACAATGGACTTGCTCGTGAATTCCCACCCCATGATGAACTCATTTCCAAGCGGACATATGCCTACAGTGGACTCACCTACTACCCCCACTCCCCTGATGGAAGATTCCAGAAGACTCCCCTTCCATCAATGGATGCTGTCAATATTCTCATCCTAAAAAAAGACATCTCCAAAGAGATATCTATATAGTGTGCTCTCCTAGCAACTCTGCTTATAAATAGACACTTTCAAGGAGACCATCTTATAATGGAGTGTCCCATTTCATCCACCAAATAAACACGTGAATTCCAGAAGACCTCTTTTTAAAAATAGACTCTCTCATCTTCATTCTATAAAAAAAGTAAGCATTCAGTCTGACCCCCGTTAAAATAAACCCTTTTGTTCTCCATCCATGTCTGCGAGAATAGACATTCTGATCTGCGTAAACCCCATTTCTACACAGAACTTTCCCATTACCCCACCCTGTGAATTGATGTTTCCAAAGAGACCCCTTCCTACAACAGATTTGCTTATCTATCCCTCTAGAAAAATGGGTCTTTCCAGGTAGAATCTTCTATGAGTCAGGACTGTCTGAAGGAATGAGATGATCATAAATACAAGAGCCTCTTTCAACAATGGGCTGTCCTGTCCCTTAACCAGGAAGGGATGCTTCCACAGCACCTGCCACGAAATCTCACATTACAGCCCCTCCATGAATAGACAAAACCAAATAAATTCCTACAATAGATACACTTATTATTTCTGTCCACAAGGAATCTACAGTTCCAGTGAAGCCTCTTTTTTACAAAGGAATTTCTCATGAACCCCACCTGGGGAATAGATGTTTCTAATGTTTCCCCCTCTTCCCACAAGAGACTTATCCTCTTATGTGGCAGAATGGGTCCTTCCAATCTGACCACCTTCCCAAAATAGAGCCTCTTGTTCTCCAGCCTTGTCCAGAGGAATGGGCTGTTATGAACTATGCAAGCCTGTTGCTACAATGAGCTCTCCCCTGTCCCCTTGTCCCCACAGGCAAGAGTGAATTCTTCCAAGTGAGCCGTTCTCTGAATAATCTAAACCTCTCACCCATATCTACAGCCAAGCTGCCTAATCCTATTGGATCTCTCTGTGACAGTAAAAATGGAACTGTCCAATAAGCTCCAACACCTTCTAGAGTGGGCTTTGCCATTGGTCCCAGTTGTATTTGTGGAGCTTGGCTGCACCGTTGTCACCCAAAGGTGGGCAACACCATAAGGATGAATGCCCCAATCACCACAAATAAATGAATTTTTCTTTATAATAAAATATCACATTTCTATTGATGCAATATTTTTCCACAGATCCCACCACCAATGCTTTCTTCCTCTCTGCTATCAAAGAAGTTCTAGCACCACCCAAATATGCAAAGTAGACAGAAGTGTCAGTACCACCTGCCACCATCAATAATGGTCAAATCGTTCCAATGTAAAGCCAGCATCTTTTAACAATGGGTCAGTCCACTTCCCCTACCAAGAAAGCATAGGTTTATCCAGAGCAAGATCCCAGGCACCAAATGATTTTCCCTGCTCCAGTGGATGGACTCTCTCATCACACACCCCCCTCAAGAAATGGACGTTTCCAAGGGGCTCTTTCTGCAGTGGACTCTCCTTTGAGGACGACAGTGCTTTCCTCCAACTCTGAATGAAGTGAACCATTCCCTATTTGCACCCCCAGTGCCTGCTCTGGTCTCCAACCTTATCGCCTACTTGGGAACCTTGGTGGACCACGCCTCCCAGCGGGCCCTGGGAATTCTGGGAGTTGTAGTTTTGCCACTCTCCCACCGACAGGTGGGGTAGAGAGGTGTCTTGGCAGGGGAGGTGGCGGTTACCTGGGCGTCCTGGTAGCCCTGGAGCAGCAGGAAGTAGGGGTGGTTGCTGGGGGCCTGGATGAGGCACTGAGTCAACTGATCGAAGTCCCCGGGATCTGCAGATCCGATTTGGGCATCCGCTGCCCCTGGGGCCATGCTAAGTGCCTGCTGCCTGCGTTCCTGCTGCCGCCGCCGCCGGCCCTGCAGGCTGAGCTCCGACACGCTGCGCCTCAGGGACAAATTTTCCGAGCGTTCCTTGCCTCCGGACCCAGCCGGGGGCCCCGATCCCGACCCTGGACCAGGACTGGCCAGCGCTGCCCCTCCCGACGCCGCCCGGGAGCGGTTCTTTTGTGGCCGCCACGAGGGGGCGCCAGTGCCTGCGGAGGGGAGAGGGGGGGAACAGTGAAGCCGAGCCTGGAAAGACAGAGACTTTAAGGAGACAGAGAATTAGCTTCAGAGAGGTGAGGCTGCTTCCCACGTTTAGGCCTTTGCATATGCTGTTATCTGTGCCTGGAACACATTTCCCGGCTGACTCCTACCACCTCGCAGTTTTCAGCCCAGAAATTTCGTTCATTCTTTTAACAAGCATTTATTAAGCACCTACTGTGTGCCTGGGACTGGGTAACAGAGAAGACTCTGCTCTGCCCTCAGGGAGATAGAAACCACCTGAACACCCTTCCCTGACAGTCCACGGTGACGCAGGTAACTGCACCACCGGGCCCTGGTACATAGTAGGCGCCTATTGGAAATGAGCTGAATGAATGAACCAATGTTTCCCACTAGGCTTTTGGTCTGGGAGAGCGAGAACCTCACATGTCGATGTCCCCACTGTATTCCTGAGAGCCCTAAAAAACATGTGGCTCACAGTAGATGCTCAATGAATGCGCTTTATCTTTTGGGGGGGAGACGATGATTTTAATTGCCATTCTTTTTTTTTTTAGACAGTCTTGCTTTATCGCCCCGGGTAGAGTGCCGTGGCATCATCATAGCTCACTGCAACCTCTAACTCCTGGGCTCCAGCGATCCTCCTACCTCAGCCTCCCCAGTAGCTGTGACTATAGGGACGTGGCACCATGCTCAGCTAATTTTTCTATATTTTGTAGAGACAAATCTATATTTTGTATAGATTTTTCTATATTTTGTTTCGCTGTTGTTCAGGCTAGTCTCCAACTCCGGGCCTCAAGCAATCCTCCCAGCTCGGCACCATTCTTTTTTTTTTTTTTTGCCCAGGCTAGAGTGAGTGCCATGGAGTCAGCCTAGCTCACAGCAACCTCAAACTCCTGGACTCAAGCGATCCTCCTGCCTCAGCCTCCCGAGTAGCTGGGACTACAGGCATGTGCCACCATGCCCGGCTAATTTTTTTCTATATATATTAGTTGGCCAATTAATTTCTTTCTATTTATAGTAGAGACGGGGTCTCACTCTTGCTCAGGCTGGTTTTGAACTCCTGACCTCAAGCAAGTTGCCCGCCTCGGCCTCCCAGAGTGCTAGGATTACAGGTGTGAGCCACCGCACCCGGCCTCAGCACCATTCTTTATTAAGCACCTATGTGCCAAGCCCTGTGCTAGGTTATATATATATATATCCCATTGACTCTTCACCTGAGATTTTGCGGAGATTAACTGGCAGAGAACATATTGGAATCCAAGCCTGAGTTCCAAACCAGTCAGTTTAATTGCTAACAACATTCCATCTCCCAAAGGGAGACTCAGAAAGAGAAAAGCGGTTGGAGAGCTCCCTGAGCAGCCTCTGGCCCTCAGTGCGCCAGGCCCCATCCCTGCCAGGCTCTTCCGACACTCGCCGTTTCATCATTGACACCCCCTCCTGTTCTAGGCCTGGTCTTCTCAGGTCCCATTGTGGCATAACCTTCCTTGGCCTCTACAAATACCTCTTCCTCTAGCCCCTTCCTTTCCTATGTGCCCACACTTGGCAGGCAACACAGGCTAAGGCCACCTGATCCAAGCCTGGCCCCTGTGAGGCCCTGCCCACTCTGCGGCCCTCCAGCCCTGACCCAGGAGCCCATACCCCCTGTCTCTCCCCCTTCTAGGCTCCACCCACATAGGCCCTGCCCCTGGAGAACCACCTCAACCTACTTCGCAGAGGGGCTTCCTGCCACAGCGACCCTCCGTGCCACCACGTGGCCCCACGCAACACCTCGAGCTCCAGGCTCCTGTCTTCCGCAGGCCCCGCCCCAGCATCACAGGCTCCGCCCATCGGCTCTGCACACCCCCCAAGGACATCAACCATACCTACGCCTCCAGTTACTAGTTCTCTCAATTTCCATTTCCCCGCCAACACCCAAGATGCGAGTCCCTCCGCATCTTGCAGACTCCTGCCCATCCTCCGGGCCCTCCCGGCTCCCAGACCCCACAATCACTCCCCAGGATCTACGACTCTGCAGGCGCCGCTACACATTCAGCCTCATCCGAGGCCGTCTGAAATGTCTACTGAAGGCCCTGACCCGGTCCGATCCACTCTAGGCCACGGCCGACCGCCGCCCCCAAAGCGGCCCCGCCCCTCCAGAGCCCAAGCCCCGCCCCCTCTAAAAATCCCACACTACCAACAGGCCCCGCCCTACTCTCAGGCCCGCCCCTGCGGCTGACGGGGCCGGGCTCCAGCTCGGCGCTCCACTGACTGGGTCCTGCAGGTAAGGCCCCGCCCCCAGGCCCAGAACCCCGCCCCCAGGCCCAGAACCCCGCCCCGGGCCCGCCCCCAAGTCCGGTCCCGCGGCCCCCGCGCAGAGCCGCAGGCTGCCTCACCTTCGCCGTCCGCAGCCCCGAAGGCCTCCTGCTCCAGGCGGCGCGCCTCCTCGCGGCCGCGCAGCTCGAAGCGCCGCGCCCAGCCGGGCCGCGCCCTCCACAGCTCCTGCACCAGCAGCGGGCGCTCGGAGTCGCCCAGCACACGCAGGTGCTCCGCCCGCCACTCGCCGTTGCCCGCGCCCGCCGCGGCCCGGCCCAGCGCGTCGCACAGTGCGAAGGCGTCCACGCAGCTGCTGTCGCCGGGGCCGCTGCCCGGGCTGCCCGCTAGACCGTAGCGCTCCAGCGCCTCGGCCACGAGCTCGCGCGCCGTGGAGCGCGCCGTGGCCAGCACGCTCTTGTAGTTGGCGCCCGACGCCAGTCCGGCTCCGAAGATCTTGAGGACCCCCGGGGGCGCCGTGGCGCGGGTGGCCAGTGGGGGCTCAGGGGCCACACCCGCCGCCAGCTCGGGCAACTTCTTCTCGCTGGCCCAGCGCTGCGCGGCCCCCGGAGTCCCAGGGCCTCCCGCGCTGCCGGACCCGGTAGTCCCGGTCCCCGAGCCCCGAAAGAGCTGAGAGATGCGCTTGGCACGGCTACCGGAGGCTCCCCCGGCCGCCTTGACCGCGCCCACTCGCCGCAGCTCCACGTGCGGTGGGGGCGGGAGCAGCGGTTCACTGCTGCGGCTCCCCGTGTCCGAAGACGAAGACCTGGTAGCCCGCCGGGGACACAGTCGCGGGAGAAACACAGGACACCGAAACGGGGACAGATTAGGAGAGAGGTGGTCAGAGACCCAGACAGAGAAGGGAGGAAAGACCAGGGTGTATGGAGATGGGGGGTGGGCAGAGACCGAAGGCAAAGAGAGAGAAATAAATAAATAAATAAACGAATAAATAAATAAATAAAGGCGAGTCCCACAGAAGGAAATTCCAAGAGGTGAGCGGGGAGGGGAGGAAGGAAGGTGAATCAAACCCCTGCGCCTTCTGTGTTCCCATCCCCGTGCCCATCCGGCCTAACTCCATCTCCTGGCCCAGCCGGCCACCCCCCACCGTGCTCTGATACCACTGTCCCACCGTCTCCACCTGCCCACCCTCTCATTTGCCCATTCAGGACAAGAGCCGGAGCCGACCCTCTCAGGGTCCCTGGCATGCCCGGTGCAGGCCGTAAGCAGGGGCAGGAGTCCTGTGGGGATGGGCACTCACTTGACAGAGGCCGCGCTGGGCCAGCGTCGCCCCAGCTTGGCCAGCTGCTTCCTGGGGGAATTGATCCACAGGCCCACAGGGAGATGGAGCTTCCCAAAGCGGGGGCTTCCGCCCTCCTTGCGTTCACCAGACAGCATGGCCCTAAGGGAGAATGGGAAAGGTCCCAACTCCTAAGGCACTGAGGGTGACAATGGGGCGAAAGAGACCTGGGCCCCCAGGTGGGGGGGTCCGACTCTTGAGTCCAGGTGGAGGAGAGGGATGGGAGCCTGGACTCCTGGGTTCAGGGACGGGACGTGGCCAGGGACTGATTCTGGGGTCCGAGGGAGTGGGGGTCTGGACTCCTGGGGCCCTGGCTCTTACCCTGCTTCGGGTCCGGCAGCACCCGAAGGCCCTGGCTCCCTGGCCTCGGTAGTTCCACTGCTCTCGTTCAGCTTTTGCCTCTGCCCCAGCTCCCAGCGCTGGGTGGGGGACAGGAAAAGGCAAGAGGAAACCCGGCAGGAAGAGCGGGGAGGGGGCGTCCTGTGAGGAGACCAGGCCTGGGGGAGGAGATATTGGTAGGGCAGGCCCTGCCCGATTCCTCCATCCTGGAATTACATGCCAGTTGGCTGGTCAGCTCCAGGACCCAGGGGTCCGGGTTTCTGGCCCCTCTTTCGTCAGGCAGGAACCCATCCCCAGACCTCCCTTTTTGGGAAACCAGAAGTTAGGATCAATCCGGAGGAGTGAGTCAGATACTTAGACAACAAGATAAATCTTTATTGGCTCCTTCAGTCTTTGCCCTTTTCCTTTGGAACCCGAGGGTGCTCAGCAGGTCTTTTGCCAAAGCGGAACAGTGACTTTATGAAATTTATCACCTTCTCTTGACACAGTATGCTGGGGGAGGATCCAGGTTAGGTACTAATTGAGTGCGGGACACCCCTCCCAGCCGTCCTCCATCTGAAATATTTTGCAATAATCTAAGCCTCGCCTCGGGAGTCCCCCTCCTAAGCCCGCCCCGCCCCCAGTGGAAGTCCGGCTCTCTGTCCCCAGCAGCTTCCAGACCTGCTTCTGCGCTGGGTACTGGGGAACCCCACGCCCACACTCCAAGTCCGCCTCCGCCAGTGGGGTGCTCACATGAAGAGGAGGCTGACTAGGAGCACTAGCGAGGCCCAGAGCAGCAGCCCTGCAAGGCGGACTTTCAGCGTCTTCTCGACCGGGAGAGGTGTGTTGAACGCTGGTATGTCGTACCAATCTGAGGGTGAAGTGTTTGGTGGCGGTGTCTCCTCCTTGCCCTGGGTTACATTGTTTGATAACAGTCTATCTTCCTTGCCCTGGGTTACAGCGTTTGGTGACGATTCCTCCTCCTCACCCCGTTTGGGCAACACTAATGGAGAAGGGACAAAAAGGAGAGCAGTCTCCAGGAACCGCAAAGGTAAGCTCGCCCGCACAGAGTTCTGCAGGAGCGCTCGTCTCCTACTGCGCATGCGGCCAGAGACCACGCCCCAGGCAGAAAACCACACCCAATGGCAAGCCACGCCCCCATAGCTAAGTCCACGCCCCCTGGAGCTGGCCCCAAACTCCTGGACCAGGAATCCCACTCTTCTCACCACCCCACAGCACTGACCTGTGACATTAAAATACATGATGGTGGCTGGGCTGGAATTCACCGAGCCCAGCTCGCAGCGGTAACGACCTGCATCCTTTGCATCCACCATGGGCTTGGTCAGGGTGGACGCTGATCCCGTGGTCACCAGATCCTCAGTGTTGTTTGCCCAAACCTAGACCCAAGCTCAAGGGGTCACAGAGGCCTGGGGGATTAGGGGTTCAGGGAGCACAGGGGTGAGAAGATCACGGGGCCTTGGTGCAGGAGATGGGAGTCCACGGTCAGGGTATGGGGTCCCCAGGGGTCAGTAGAGACCATGGGTCATGAGGGTCATGGGTGCAGGCCAGTGGATCTAGGGGCCAAGGAGCTCACACAGACATGATAGACGAGGGAGTTCAAGGGTTGCAGGAGTTGAGGACCCCACCCTGTAAAATTTGTAAGAGGTGAGGCCTTCTGAGGCTTTATGCCAGCTCAACTCACAGTCCAGGATCATGTCTTCCATTTGATGGACCACCACTTCGCGCTCTGGGGATGAGGGACGACTGTGGGACACTCTTTCGTGGTTCTCTGCCCTCCCTTAACCCCCTTACATTGGGTCGGACCCCCACCTTCTCTGATCTGCTATCTCCATCTCAGCTTTCTCAGTCTCTGATCTCGCCCCACCCCTCTTGCACCAACCCCTCCTACTGGGTGCAGCTCTCACCTCCGCAGTTGGAGGACTTCCGACAAGCATGAATCTGCTTTTCGCAGTTGCTGCACCAGATCAGAGTCTGATACATCGTACCTGAAGGGGCAGGGTCAAGGCTGTATTTGCCGGTGGAAGGGCGGGACTAAAAGGAGAGGGCAGGGCTGTGGGCTGGGGCCGGGTCACGTGACAAATCCTTAGGAGGGACAGGGCCAGAACGTACCTGGGTAGGAAGCAGGTTCAAACAAGGCTCAGTAAAGAGTGTAAGTAGAAGACGACCCGCTCCCCCAGAAATGGAAGGTGGACAAAAAGTATTGGAGACCTGGGAATCTCTCGGACGTGAAGAATGAAAAAAACAGCAGGTTCCAAAGAAGGGAAGGGGGAGATTGGGTATTCGAGGGGCAGGGATGAAGGGTAGAGGGCCAGCTTTCACGAACCGGACTCACCACATTTGTTGGGACAATAAGCTGCCTCCGAAGGGAAAAAAGAGAGAGAGATGACAGTCAGATTTCTAAATTAAAAAAGATGGAAGAGAGGGTTGGGGGAAGAGCTGGGGTTTGGACTCGGGTTTGTGATGGAAGGACTTGGGTTCGAGGGAGCAGGAATCTGGGACAGCAGAGGAACTGGGCTCAGAGAAGTAAGCAAAGGGCTCAGGATCGGGACTGTTGAGTTGTGGAAGGAGGGGGCTGGGGTCCCAGACTCCCATCTTCCCTCACCCTCTTTTTGGAATTGAGCAGCAAAATTGGCAAAAGTTTCCTTTTGCAGGTGCAACATCCAGAATAGCTCCTTCACGAAGAGCTCACCTGGGAAAAAACAGAATGGTGTAGTGGTTCTCACCCCCCAGCCCCCACCCCATGCCCCCAAGCTCAGATATGAGAGGCCGGAAGTTTGCCTGTGTCTGCAAAACCTGGCTTTCGCCGGTAAAGGCACTGAAATTGGCCATTTAACATAATGCTGGCTAGTAGGCCACTAGGCTAAGCAATACACATTTAATGTTCACAGCAACTGAGGAACTAAGGCACTGTATGCCCTCCACTTCAGAGCATTTTATTTAATTAATTAATTTATTTATTTATTTCTGAGACAGAGTCTCACTTTGTTGCCCAGGCTAGAGTGAGTGCTGTGGCATCAGCCTAGCTCACAGCAACCTCAAACTCCTGGGTTCAAGCGATCCTTCTGCCTCAGCCTCCCGAGTAGCTGGGACTACAGGCATGCGCCACCATGCCCGGCTAATTTTTTCTATATATATTAGTTGGCCAATTAATTTCTTTCTATTTATAGTACAGACAGGGTCTCGCTCTTGCTCAGGCTGGTTTTGAACTCCTGACCTCGAGCAATCTGCCCACCTCAGCCTCCCAGAGTGCTAGGATTACAGGCATGAGCCACCTCGCCCCGCCTATTTATTTATATTTTGAGACAGAGTCTCACTCTGTTGCCCGGGCTAGAGTGCCGTGGCGTCAGCCTCGCTCACAGCAACCTCAAACTCCTGGGCTTAAGCGATCCTCCTGCCCCAGCATCCCGAGTAGCTGGGACTACAGGCATGCGCCACCATGCCCTGCTAGTTTTTTCTATATATTTTTAGTTGTCCAGCTAATTACTTTGTATTTTTAGTAGAGACAGGGTCTTGCTCTTGCTCAGGCTGATCTGGAACTCCTGAGCTCAAACGATCCTCCCACCTCAGCCTCACAAAGTGCTAGGGTTACAGGCATGAGCCACCATGCCGGCCCATTTTAGAGTATTTTAGAGCTGAAGAAGCTTCAAAGTTCCTTGCTCAAGGCCACACAGCTAAGAAGTGGCAGAGCTGGAATTTGAAGCTAGCAGTCTGACCAAGAGACCACACATCACTAGCAGTGGCTTCCCTGAGAGATAGTGGGGCCCCCAGCCCCCTGGGTCTGTTTACCTTTTACATCACTGTCGGTGATTCGGTTCAGATCCTTCAGCAAACTCCAGGATGCCTTGTTCAGTGTGGCTTCATCTGTGGGGGGAGATAGAACCCCAGATTGCAGCATTACTGTCTCATTGGCCCGCCCAGCCTTAGAAATATGCATGAGTCAGCCGGGTGCAGTGGCTCACGCCTGTAATCCTAGCACTCTGGGAGGCTGAGGTGGGAGGAGCGCTCAAGATCAAGAGTTCGAGACCAGCCTGACCAAGAGCGAGACCCCATCTCTACTAAAATAGAAAGAAATTAATTGGCCAACTAAAAATATACAGAAAAAATTAGCTGGGCATGGTGGCACATGCCTGTAGTCCCAGCTACTCGGGAGGCTGAGGCAGGAGGATTGTTTGAGCCCAGGAGTATGAGGTTGCTGTGAGCTAGGCTGACGCCACAGCACTCACTCTAGCCTGGGCAACAGAGTGAGACTCTGTCTCCAAAAATAAAAAAGAAATACCCATGAGATCATGGGGCAAGGGTAGGCCTTGTTAAGGATTAGCCTTCTGGGAGTTGTATATAAAATTGTCAGATAAAGGGTAAGATAATTATTACAGCGGGGTGCGGTGGCTCTCGCTTGTAATCCCCACACTCTGGGAGGCCGAGGTGGGGTGATCCCTTGAGCACAGGAGTTTGAGACTAATTTGAGCAAGAGTGAGACCCTGTCTCTAAAAATAAATAAATGTAAGGAAAACAGTATTTACTAGCCCTAGGGAAGCCCAGAATCGCAGCCTTCTCTGTTGGTGCACCCAGGAGACCTGTTCCCAGCCCCTTCCTCCCCCCCCCCTGGCCCCAGCCCTCTCTGTTCCCAGGACCCCGGAATCTGCTCTCTGCCCTGCCCTCACCAACGGCCCCCATAAAGGAATTCGCATCAAGTGGCAAGTCCTTGAAATCGTTTATGGCCTTTTCCACCCTTTCCATCACATTTTGGTGATGCTGGACATCCAGGTGGCCAGGCAGGTAATCTTCTTTCAAGGACTTTAGTGCCTGTTCGATCAAGGGGCTACACGTGACACAGCCCCCAGCAGGAAGCAGGCAGCGGGCCAGAGCTGCCAACAGGAGGGCAAAACTTGGTCTCATTGCCACCAAGAGCCGTAGTCCTCGAAGACAGTCAGGAAGGTTCCTCTCTCTAAACCAAGAGCAGGTGAACGCTAAACAAAGAGAAGCCAAAGCTCATCTCAGAGAGCCCCAACTTAGACCCCCATCCACCAGGTCCCCAAACTACCATACAAGGATCTTCAGGAAATCTCCAAATGAAGAGGACTGATATCCTTCAATGGATGCCTCCAAAGTGTGAAATTGAATCCAGGGAACCCCTAATTTAGAGTCTTCACTGCACTCCAACTGACAGGTCAGCAAACTATTAAACAGGAGGGACTCACCCGTCTCCAAATTCAGGAACTGGAATTCCCCACCCGGTTTACCCCTTCCCAAACTACAGGATTCTCAACTCCCCAAATTGATGTGATCCTAAACTCCAAACCTTGAGTGTATCAAGGAGGCACTACCCTCCCCCCCACACCCCAAAACCTTGCAGCTCAAGCTGAAACCTCAATGCCCAAACGAAATAAACCATTTAATACAGAACCAACCAGGATATCATCAAACTCAGAACTCTCTCAAAACCAAAACAAACTCCGAGTCCCTAAACTGGGGACCCGACACACTTAAGCATGACTTCATCCCGCCCTCCATGCTGCGGTTGTCCACCTTTCCCCAAGACTAACGGACCCCCAATTTGCAGGGCACACCCTTCTTAGGAAAGGGAGGAGACCTGATGCACCCTGAGCAGCGATGCATCCTCAACAGCCGCTCTCCGACCTCGATCCCCGACTTGGGCGGTGCCTTCAAACACTAGGGCTCGCTGAGGAGCCCAGTCCAGGTTCCGAAGGCTTTTAAAGAGGAAGCCGGGGTCACAACCTTCTACTCTCATATTTTCCCATGGCTAAAATTAAGGATTTTGTTCGGGACGAGAGTGAATTGGTTGCGTGGAACAGAGTTTTCCACTGGGGTCTGAGTCACGGAAGGTCCCTGTCTGCGAGAAACCTGCAGCCTTTCTCTTTGAGTTTCCCACGTGGAGTCCCTAATTTCCTGAGATAGTTCCTGGGGTTTCCCTTGGCCCCGCCCAGAAGCCCAACTCGGAATCGGATTGGACCGAAACAAAGGGAGGCCCCGCCCTCGCTCCACGACGTCACAGAGGCTGCCGGCTTTTCAGACTGGAACTTACTTCCCAGTGCCTACCGAAAAGGAAAGTTACCAGCGTGCTCCGGTTTCCAGAGCCGGGCAACGGGCTTCTGGCGTTTAGCTTCCACCCTTCCCATGGCCCCAGGACTCAGGCTTCCGGCTAAATGCTCCCTGCCCTTTGGAAACCGGCGTGGAGCCACAGAGATGCAGGAAGCAGATATTTTAACCTTAGGACTACGACTCCCAGAAGGCCGTTGGGCCTCTTTCTCGATGGCAGACTAGTCCCGCCTCTTCCTTAGCTTTATGGGAAATGTAGTTCAACGATTATACTCTTTGGTCACCCCCTTAGACACCTTCTCTTCCCAGACTATGGGGCTGGATACGAAGGTCCTCGTGGGAAGAGAGGTCTGCGGGCTAATACTAACGGTCCCAGACCTTTGGGTCCTGGAAGATATCTCTGTCCTTACTTTTCTGTGTGATTGAAACAGGGAATCAGAAAAACAGGGACCACAGCTCACACAAGTCTATCCACAAACTTAAGTAGGGAGAACACCCTGAGACATTACGAGTAATGAAAGCCCTTGGAAGCTGCCTGGCTTCCCCTCTTACAAAACACACACACACACACACACACACCTCCAAAAATGCTGCAGAGACAGGGGTTGGTGATATGGACTTTTAATTCACACCTCCCACTCTTCTACCTGTGACAGCTGAATTGGGAATGGTGCCCTGAAACTCCCTGAGAAGACTAGAGGCTTGGGTTTGATGTGTGGATGGGGGATGTGATCAGAGTTGACTGTGTTAAAGGTATCTTCCTTCACCCTCCAAAAAGCAGCAAGGGGCTTCTGAAATCTGAGTCAAGTATCGGGTCCTCCTCCACCAGACCCGGGGTTTGAAGCTGGATCCTTTTATCCCAGACCTGCCCAAAGCCAGATTTAGTGGTTCTGTGAGTTCAGGACCTTGCCAGTGGTTGGCAAAGAGCACAGTGCCTCCCAGCTTTATGCAGGCCCATAAGGGCATGTTTATTGATGCCTGCTGTCTTCCAAGATACAGATCTCAGACCCTCAGCAGCCCACCTACAGAGGAGGGTCAGCTTCCTTAATCCTGAGAGGCAAGCTGAACTTGGATTTTTTTTTTTTTTTTTTTTGAGACAGAGTCTCACTCTGTTGCCCTGGCTAGAGTGAGTGCCGTGGCATCAGCCTAGCTCACAGCAACCTCAAACTCCTGGGCTCAAGTGATCCTCCTGCCTCAGGCTCCTGAGTAGCTGGGACTACAGGCATGCGCCACCATGCCCGGCTAATTTTTTCTATATATTTTTAGTTGGCCAATTAATTTCTTTCTATTTTTAGTAGAGACAGGGTCTCGCTCTTGCTCAGGCTGGTTTTGAACTCCTGACCTTGAGTGATCCTCCCCCCCTTGGCCTCCCAGAGTGCTAGGATTATAGGCGTGAGCCACTGCACCTGGTCTGAACTTGGATTCAACATCCACAGTTCCTGTCTTTGGCAGTTTTTGAGCTTTAAAAAAAAATGTCTCTGGATCTCTAGAAAATTGTGCTCTAGAAGCTGCAGTATTTTAGCAGCTGTCGCTGTCCCCACTTCCACATCCTTGCCTGTCTACTACCCCCGAACCCTCACTGCTTGGGGTGGTTTTGAACTCCTGATCTTGAGTGATCCTCCCACCTTCGGCTCCCAGAGTGCTAGGATTATAGGCGTGAGCCACCATGCTCAGCCTTCTTTGACACTTCCTTAGGGGCTGAGAGGTTGAAGAGAGTTCTGCTCTGCTGACCGCCTACCCCAGCTTTTCCAGTGCCTACAGGCAGAGCAGGATGTCCACTGCAATAGTTTATCTTCCCTCCCAATCTTTCTGGCAATGGTGGGGTGTTGAGCCTCTGGTTATACATTCATTAGATTCTTTTTTTTTCTGAGACAGAGTCTCACTCTGTTGCCCAGGCTAGAGTGAGTGCCGTGGCGTCAGCCTAGCTCACAGCAACCTCAAACTCCTGGGCTCAAGCGATCCTCCTGCCTCAGCCTCCCGAGTAGCTGGGACTACAGGCAGGCGCCACCATGCTCGGCTAATTTTTTTATATATATATGTTTAGTTGTCCAGCTAATTTCCTTCTGGTTTTAGTAGAGACAGGGTCTCGCTCTTGCTCAGGCTGGTCTCCAACTCCAGACCTTGAGCAATCCTCCTGCCTCGCCCTCCCAGAGTGATAGGATTACAGGCGTGAGCCACCACACCCAGCCTACATTCATTAGATTCTTTATGTAAGTTTTCTGGAATTCCAGAACCTTCATTCCCTCTAGAAGGGTCCTTCAGGGTTCTTCACAGGCATTAGACCTGGCTCTCTCTAGAACAAATCCCCCCTCCCAGAAGCACTCCAGAGACACAGAGGAGGAGCTGGCAGGGCTTGCTCTAGACACACCATGAGCTCTTTCAGGCTTCTGAGGACCCAGGGGAGAATTAACATCTCTTCTAGAAAAGACCAGGATGATCAACACTAGAGGAAGTATTCCTTGTTCCTGGGCGCTGCATCTAGAAGTATTTAGACAGGGGCAGGTGGGCACTGCAGCTTCTAGAACTGCCAAGAGCCTCTCCAGACATTTGCCAACATATTCTGCTGCTGCTTCTAGAATGTTCAGGCAGTTCCAGAAAGCTTCCCTTTCTCTCCAAGTCTGCCCAACTAGAATCGCTTTAGAAATAATGGGTGTCCACCTGCTCCAGGACCACCATAAACTTCTCCAGAAGGTGCTAGGTCTCTGGAGACATATACCACCGGTTCTGGAATGATCAGACTATTCCACAAAGTTTCCCGGCTCTCAAGGCCCAGTAGCTGTCCAGAGGGGAGATAAGTCTGCATTAATGCCCACCCACTCAGGCAGGAAGGCGGCCTCTGGCTTAAAGATCCTTAGGAACTCGGAGTCTGGCAGGGTGAAGTTGGCCAGGTAGATAGTATCTCCACCAGCCAGGTAGGCAGCCCAGAAGCCGAAGGTGCCAATGGTCATGATGGTGTGGTTGCACTGTGTGAGCACTGCAAAGTCCCTCTCCGGCGCGCCCTCCTGCCCGTTGCCAGCAAAGATCACATCACCCTGGGAAGTGTCAATGTTTTTCCGGCACCACTCCATGCCGTTACTAGTGACCACGAAAATAGGGGCTTCATACCGTGCCCTGAACCAGTCCATGGCCTGCCGAAGGTAGGCTTGGTCACCCACCACACCCTTCCAGCGCTGAGGCATAACCTCCAGATAGTCCCCACGGCGCACATGGACACCCACGAAGGTCCTCGGTCGGTCCCCAGTGCGGCCCAGACGGAGATGACTCAGTAAACTCTGGGCCTCTTCTCGAAGGTGGTCGTGCAGGGTGAACTCACTGCGGATCTGTTCTCGAAGATGGTGGAAGAAAGTCCAAGAGCAGGGGAAGCCAGAGAGCTTGAGCCAGGGATCCTTCAAGCGGGCATACTCCTCTGACATCCAGTCATGCAGCTGCAGCTTCTGCCAAGGCGTGCGGCTGTCCACTTCCGGCGACAGCACCGGCAGGGTGATGCGGAACACCGGGGCCAAGGTGGCATGCATGGCCGGCAGGATGAAGGCCCTGCGGCCGTTCAGCTGGGCCAGGGCGAGCAGGGTGGCATACTGCCCCATCTGATTACCAAACCGGCCATCTGGGTATATAGTCCAGGTTCCTGAGAGGGAGGCAGGGAGCTGGGGACAGGAAGAGGAGGTGTTGGGGTCCAGTGGTGTACCCGACAGGCAGAAGATGGCCACTGGAGGTGTCGCCAGGTAGCGGTTTGGACACAGAACAGACAGGTCTAGGCCGTGTCGGAAGATGTCTTGGTGGATATGGAGGAAGAAGGAGACTGCGGAGAGCACACAGACTAGCAGGAAGGCCAGACAGAGCTGCCGATGGCTGGGCGGCCACATGGCTGCAGGGGAGGAAACGTGAGTTAGCACATACTCAGAGCGGAGGAGGAAGGTCAGAGAGGAGAGGCCTGGGGTCCAGGACTACTCAGTTCCGGGGAATGAGGAAGCTACAGGTTTTAGGCCCCAGGGGCTGAGGTCGTGGAGGCTGGGAGCTGGAATCCCAGCTCTTGGGAGGAGAGGCTTGGAATCTCGGGGGGCCAGGGACGGAAGAAGTGAGCAGTGGTGGTTTCCAAAATAGCCGGCGTCCAGGTTCCAGCACCTTCCCCCCACCTCTGGGAATCTCGCCTCTCCCCCTGCGTCAGGTGCACTGAAATTGGACTCTATTCCACCAACCCGTGTCTCAGCAGGACCCGCCGTGAGGGGCAGAGCCACCACCGAGGGGGTGGGAAGCGCCATTGCGCGTAGAGCCTGAGAGGATGGAGGACCGGACCGGATGTGGGATGACGGTGCCGCAGCAGCAGGAGCTGGGAGGTGGCGGAGACTCCCAGGGCCTTAGTGCGAAGAGGTCAGGGTGCACCTCCCGGGCTCAGCCATCCGCAGTTGCACTCACCTGAGCTCCTCGCGGGTGGCGGGCCCACAGGCGGCTTCGCGCGGCCGGAGCGCGCCGTCCTCAAAGGCAGCTCACATCCGGCCGTCCCCGGAACCCCTTAGGCCGTCCCCCGGCCCCCCAGCCCTCCCCTGCGCGCCGCCCGCCCCGACTGGCTGCGAGGGCGCGGGGAGGGGCGGAGGTGGGCGGCCCCCGCCCTCCCGGGCCCCGCAGGTAGCAGCCGGGCGGAGCCCCGCCCCGTACCTGGCGCCGAGCCGCGCTCCCCAGGCTAGGGCGGTGGCCCTGTCCCCTCCGCTGCCCACTCGGGTGTGGACCGCGCCCTGGCCGCCGCCTCGCCGCCGCCCGCTTCCCCCGGGCAGCCTACCTGGCCTCCCAGCAGCGGCCGCATCCTCGCGTGGATCCGGACCCCGGGCGCCGGCCGCGATGCTGGAGCCGTGAGTCCCGCTCCGTGGCCCCGTCCCCTCCGTGCCGAGGCTGAGCGGCCGCCGCCCGTCCCCCGGTGCGCGGACCGCGGCCACGCCCCAGCCGCTGCGCCGGCAGCCACTCCCCGCCCGCAGGGAGGGGACATCCTCCGCCCCGCGCCGAATCCTGCGGGAGGATTGTGAACCTGTTTGTCGGGCTGCACGCGAGCGATGGGCGACCTCCTGGGCTCCTGGGCGGCGGCGCGAAAACCCCGATCTGAGGGTGCCCCGCGCCCCCCGCGCCCCGGCTCCCTTCCCCGCGCCGTCCACACTCGAAGTCCAGGGTCCCGGCCCCCAGGCCTGCCTTGTGGGAATTCTAGGGCCCCGCGCCCAGCTGCTGCTTCCCAGACCACCCAGGCAACCTCAACCGAGACCATGAACGGGAAACCCCGAGTGGAAGAGGGTTTGTCCTCCCGGCCTCCTGCAGAGGCCGCGGCAGTCGGGTCCAGGAACCACAGCCCCTGCGCCGCCGCAGACCCGAAGCCTTTTCCGCCGTCGGGGGCCCCTCTTCGCGCCAACCCGCCCCGCCCGGGCGGCCCGGCCGGTGCATTCAAGATAAGTCCTGGCGAAGACCCGGGAATTTCGCTGGATTTACTGGAGATTGGACCATCATTTCTCCAGACTCAGAACTCTGGAGAAGGGGGCGCCCAGCCCCTCCTTGGTCGGACCCAGGGGTCCAGGCCCTGCACCCTTACGGGCTCCAACAAATTAACCAACCCTTCTTCCCTCTGTCTAACTGTCCCCTCCAGAGCCGGGCTCTGCTGCCAACTCCAACGACAGACTCTCACCCGCCCTCCCCCAGGCTATTTTGAGAGCACCTGTTCTGGCCTCAGCTCTCAGATCGCTTCTCTGGTGAAAGAAACAACAGGATTGCATCAGGGAGGAGGAGGCTGGCGAGGCTGGGGTCTGAGCATCTGAACAGGGGTTGATGAGGTTGAGATTGGCCCATTGCCAGGTGGGAGGCTTCCAAGACAGGACACTTGTGTCCCTGCTGAGGACGCTTCGTTCATGTAGCAGTTGCTGTTTCCCTGAAAATCAATGAATCCCGGTGTCAGACCACTGCCCTCCCCACCCCCACACCTAAAAATTCAGATAGGTCACAGAAATTCCACTTGTGTCACACAATCTGCATTAGCGAGCCAAGGAGATGATTTTTCATGCTCCCAGCCCCCTCCTCCCTGAGACCCAGGGGGCCCCACCCCAGCCCCTTCCACCTGGGTCCCAGTTAATCGGGTCCTCATCTCCCTCATCCCCCAGACCCAGGAGGCCAGGCCCCCGACTCAAAGGACCCCCAGATTGCATCATCTGTCCGGGCCGCCCTGGCCACGGTGGAATCCTATCTCCCGCCAAGCGGGTCAAATATCATGAGTCAGGCGTGGGGAGGGTGACAGGGCGGGCCTGTCTGGGTATAAATTCTGGAGCTTCTGCATCTCTCCCAAGAGCCTGGGGTGTCCTGTCAGCTGGGGATCACGAGCAAGAGGACCCAGGCATTCAGGCCACCGGAGCAGCAACCTGCCAGTCTGCCGTCCTGGACAAGCGGATCTGGAACTGATTCTAGATCCTTCAGCGTCTCCGGCCTCCCACCCCTGCAACCGCCTGAGGACTGAGCCATTCATTGATGGGCTGGGACGAGGCCGGCGCCGGGTTCGAGCACCCAGGACTGTGGTTTCCCATGCTGGGTGTCCTGCTGCTGGGAGCCTGCCAGGCGTACCCCATCCCTGACTCCAGCCCCCTCCTCCAATTTGGCGGCCAAGTCCGGCAGCGGCACCTCTACACAGACGATATCCAGGAGACAGAAGCCCACCTGGAGATCAGGGCGGACGGCACAGTGGTGGGGGCCGCCCGACAGAGCCCTGAGAGTGAGTGTGGGGGGAGGCCTGGTCCTGAGTGGGGAGGGCTGGGGCCCAGGGCGCCTGGGTCTCAGACAGAGGGGCGAGGAAGACCCTCTGAGGCCCTTACCTCCTTTTCCCCTTAGGTCTCTTGGAGCTGAAAGCCTTAAAGCCAGGGGTCATTCAAATCTTGGGAGTCAAGACCTCCAGGTTCCTGTGCCAGAGGCCAGACGGGGCCCTGTATGGATCAGTGAGTTCCCCGCCCTCCTAGCCCACCGCCATCTTAGTGTCATCTCCACAGTCTGGGGCTCCCTGTCTTAAACATCCACCCAAGCCGGACTTGGGTCTATACTCTCTGCACACCCCAAGCTCCCTGCACCTCTGGAGGTTGGAGCTCTTGTTATTGGTGCTTGGGAGCTGAGGAAACTGAGGCCCAGGTAGAGACACCATTGGCCTCCATTCACGAGATGCGTGAATGGCAGAGTGGCCTGAGAGGCCGAGTCTCATGACACCTTAACCTCTGCTCCTGGCCACGTGCTGGCCACAGGGACGCTCACGGAAGCCATAGCCAGTAAAGTGACCAGGACCTGGGTCGTAGCCAGACCCCCTGCCTGGCCTAAGAGAGCACTAACTGGTCCCTGGGCTGGAATGTTCTTCTCTGTGAAGACAGGACAGGGAGGTGGGCACTTCAGGCCTGCCCTGGGGTGAGGGATGAAATCTGCTTTTAAGTATTTTGTTTCATGCAGGAAGGGCTGGGGGGCCTGGACCCCTGGGCCTGAGGGAGGATAACATGGAGGGGTCCTGGGTCTCTGATCCCTGTCCTTTGTCCCCTAGCTCCACTTTGACCCCGAGGCCTGCAGCTTCCGGGAGCTGCTTCTTGAGGATGGATACAACGTCTACTGGTCCGAGACCTACGGCCTCCCACTGCACCTGCCTTCCCCCAGTTCGCCATACCGGGACCTGGGGCCCCGGGGACCAGTCCGCTTCCTGCCGCTGCCAGGCCTGCCCCCAGCACCCCCGGACCCGCCAGGGATTTTGGCCCCGGAGCCCCCGGATGTGGGCTCCTCGGACCCTCTGAGCATGGTGGGGCCTTCGCAGGGCCGAAGTCCCAGCTATGCTTCCTGAAGCCGCAGGCTGTTTGTTACTGGGTCTCCTCTTTATTTATTGAGTTATTTATCTTATTTATTTTTTTATTTTTCTTACTTGAGATAATAAAGTGTCTTGAGAGAGGAGGATCAGAGTGAGTGCGTGTGAGTGTTTGAGGGAAGAAATGGGATCTGCTTCCTCGCCTGCCCTTGACCCTGAAAACCCCCGTCCGCCTGCCCTGGCACTGCGCTAAGGCTCCAGCTTCCCTCTGGGCCTCAGTCTTCTGCTCTGCCGAGGTGTCCTCAGAGCTCCAGGACTATGCCTGCTCTTTCACAAGCAGGACTTATTAGCCACCCCCTGCCCCCAACCTCCCGTTAGTGTTGTGGAACTATTTCGCTGAGACACCTCAATAATGGGGGAGTTTTTAAAAAGTGACACTGTAGACCCACAGCCTCATGGGAGATGTAGTTTCCTAGGTCATTTAGCAGTAGGCATGGGGTGATGTCTTGCTCCTCAGAGCTGGGGCAAGGACTCCTGGATCCTCTGGGTGGGTTCGGTGCTAGGATAGCTCTCGAGTCCTGGAGAGTCAGAGGGCTGGACATCGGGACACCTGAGTCCCAGAAGAACAGGGGAATAAAGACCTAGACACCAGGGTCCGAGAGAGGAGAGGCTGGAGATTGGGAGGCCTGGGTCACAGAGCAGCCCCAGGATCAGAACTCTTCCATCCAGGAACTTAGTGTTAGGGATCGACCTGCCACAGCCCCACCGGACAGAAAAGCAGAGACATTGAGGATGCAATCACACAAGAGGAGGTTTATTTTCTGGCTAGCCAGGGTCCAGCCCCAGAGCACCAACGCAGTGCCACTCTCTCAGGCAAGGACCCCGACCGAATTGCGGGTGCCTTTTATCCCCCCCCAAGGGCCCTAGCAACACACAAACTAATCACGCGCTGGTCATGAGCTGACCTTTGAAGTGATTAATTTTCTTTGTATTCTGCGCGATCCCTGCGCATCCCACCTCCCTTTTGCCTTTCTTCACAACCCAAGAGATAACCGGAGGTATGAGTATACACAGATGTGTGCTGTTCGCTAATTGCCTCACCCTACTTCACACGAAGGGGGGGGGAAACTCTTTTCTTGTTGTGCCACTGAGACGCCGCCGAGGCTCCATCGAGGCGCCCCCACATTAGGAGTTTTGGAGAGTAATTGACTATCATGGAATTCAATCCCAACAAGAGAGTTGCCTGGTCCCCCTCCCCTCCCATAGTCCAGATTTCCATGTTGTTCTTGAAGTCATTTCCAGGTGGGAAGAAAGAGGAAAGGCCGGCTGGGGTGGCTCACGCCTGTAATCCTAACACCTGGGAGGCCGAGGCGGGAAGATCGATTGAGGTCAGGAGTAGGAGACCAGCCTGAGCAAGAGCAAGACCCCGTCTCTACTAAAAATAGAACGAAATTAGCCAGACAACTAAAAATATATAGAAGAAATTAGCCGGAGATGGTGGCGCCTGCCTGTAGTCCCAGCTACTCGGGAGGCTGAGGCAGAAGGATCGCTTGAGCCCAGGAGTTGGAGGTTGCTGTGAGCTAGGCTGATGCCATGGCACTGTAGCCCAGGCGACAAAATGAGACTCTGTCTCAAAAAATAAAAGAAAGAAAGGAAAGAAAAGAAAAGGAAAGGAAAGGAAAGGAAAGGAAAGGAAAGGAAAGGAAAGGAAAGGAAAGAAAGGAAAGGAAGAAAGGAAAAGGAAAGAAAGAAAGGAAGGAAAAGGAAAGGAAAGGGAGGAGAAGGGAACGGGAAGGGAAAGGAAAAAAGGAAAGGAAAGGAAGGAAAGAAGGAAAGGAAAGAAAGGAAAGGAAAGAAAGGAAAGGAAAGAAAAGGAAAGGAAAGGAAAAGAGTTAGACTACACCTCCCAGGGATCGTGGGTCAGCTCCAGCCACTGCAGCTTCCTGGGAGTTGTGGTCTCAAACCCTTCATTTTAATTCCAAGGTTTCGAGTGAGAGGAATATCATAGTCCAGAGCTTTCCCCACCTGAGCAGGTTGGGAGCCTTCCCCAAGGTGCTGCCCTGCAGGAAGCGTGGACTGGCCTGAGGGTGCAAACCACACCTCCTGCTGCTGCTACACCTCTGTCCACACTCAGCTCCCGGCCAGCTCCACAGGACAAGATGCAAGGTGTGGCCAGTGAGGGGTACAATATGCACCAAAAGAATCACAAGACATTGCCCACTGATATTGACCCGAACCCGGCTGTCAGTCTGGGAAGGGTTCCTGCAGCTAGCTGTTGGGGATGGGCGGGACCAGACTGGAATCGATTCAATGTTGAACTGGGCTGAATGTATTGGTAGAGATCCCAGACTCAAGTGATAGCTGCAAGGGCCGGGGTGGCTCTAGTTTGCTCTTTGGTTGCCTGCAACCCGGACCCCAAATGGTCTGTAGAGATTGGGTGAAGTCGAGATGCTATAAGTTGTCTTGTCGTGCTGTAGGGTGACGGCTCTCCAAGTGTGGCCTTGAACCAGCAGCATCAGCGTCCTCTGGGAACGTGTTAGAAAAGCACATGCTCTCCGGGAGGCCGAGGCGGGCGGATCGTTTGAGTTCTGGGGGACAGGTGCGGTGGCTCACCCCTGTAATCCTAGCACTCTGGGAGGCGGAGGTGGGTGGATTGCTCGAGGTCCGGAGTTCGAAACCAGCCTGAGCAAGATCGAGACCCCTGTCTCTACTACAAATAGAAAGAAATTAATTGGCCAACTAAAAATATATAGAAACAACTTACGGGCATGTGGCACATGCCTGTAGTCCCAGCTACTTGGGAGGCTGAGGCAGGAGGATCGCTTGAGCCCAGGATTTGAGGTTGCTGTGAGCTAGGCTGACGCCACGGCACCTCTACCCAGGCAACAGAGTGAGACTCTGTCTCAAATAATTTAAAAATAAGGCCAGTTTCGGTGGCTCACGCCTGTAATTCTAGCACTCTGGGAGGCCCGAGGCGGGCAGATTGCTTGAGTCAGGAGTTCAAGAACCAGTCTGAACAAGAGCGAGACCCGTCTCTACTATAAATAAAAAAAGAAATTAATGGCCAACTAATACATATAGAAAACTTATCCGGCATGGTGGCGCATGCCTGTAGTCCCAGCTACTCGGGAGCTGAGCAGGAGGATCGCTCGAGCCCAGAAGATTGAGGTTGCTGTGAGCTAGGCTGACGCCACAGCACTCACTCCTAGCCTGGGCAACAGAGTGAGACTCAAAAAAAAAGAGTCTAGTTGTTTTCCAAGAAGGCCCCTCAGTTGGAGTTTGTTTGATGTTCCTCATGATCAGATTCCAGTTAGGCATCTCGTCCTTTTTTTTTTTTTCTTTTATCACCACCTGCCCCCTGCCTTACCAAAACATCAAGCATGTCCTATCCCCAGGTGGTGTGCCTGGCACCTATTTTGTAAGGTATATCCTTCCCCTCCTCCTTTTCTTTTTTTTTTTTTTTGACACAGAGTCTCACTCTGTTACCCGGCTAGAGTGAGTGCCGTGGTGTCAGCCTCGCTCACAGCAACCCTCAAACTCCTGGGCTCAAGCGATCCTCCTGCCTCAGCCTCCTGAGTAGCTGGACTACAGGCATGCGCCACCAATGCCCGCTAAATTTTTTCTATTTTGGTAGAGATGGGGTCTTGCTCTTGCTCAGGCTGGAATTCCTGAGCTCAAACGATCCGCCCGCCTCAGCCTCCCAGAGTGCTAGGATTACAGGTGTGAGCCACTGCGCCCGGCCTCCGTGTTCTTAATCTTCCCAAATCCTGCTTTTCACCCCCCAACCTCCCACCCCCCAAAACCACCAGGTAGAGCAACTAGGATAGCAAAAGCAAAAGCTCACAAGCAATATCTTTCATAAAACCAGATAACAAAGTCTCCGCACAAGCCCAGGAATATAAATGGGTAGTTTCATGTCACCAAAGGCCAAGGAAGAGAAGCCATGCGGGAAGCAAAGGTAACTAGGAAAGAACGAGAAATGGGAACTTCCCCAAGCGTGGAGAGGAGAGGACTTAAGAACATCAGTCGAGTCTTGGGGGGCCCCATCAGTAGGTGACTTGGGGGGCCACGGACAGGCTGGAAGATTCTGAGGGGCTCTGGGTCACCAGGGATCTCAGAAATGCTCACGTTGCCAACCGGTTCTGGAAGGACAAAGCTCCACGCTGGCAAAAACTAACAAAACCAGGACCCAGACTAATCTTGGCAGGAACTTGGGGCTAAAGGAGAGAGAATTTTCCAGGAATTGGTGGGGGAGGAAGTACTGGAGAGGTGGCTATGCTGAGAGGTTGTTTTTTTTTTTTTGAGACAGAGTCTCATTCTGTTGCCCCAGGCTGGAGTGCCATTGCATCAGCCTAGCTCACAGCAACCTCAAACTCCTGGGCTCAAGCAATCCTCCTGCCTCAGCCTCCGAGTAGCTGGGACTACAGGCATGCGCCACCATGCCCAGGCTAATTTTTTCTATATATATATTAGTTGGCCAATTAATTCTTTCTATTTTTAGTAGAGATGGGGTCTCGCTCTTGCTCAGGCTGGTCTCGAACGCCTGACCTCAAGCGATCCTCCCACCTGGGCCTCCCAGAGTGCTAGGTTTACAGGCGTGAGCCACCGCGCCCGGCCCCTTGTATTATATTTTAAGTTTTCTTTAAAATTTTTGAATTTCCTATATTTATCAGTCCCCGTTTGTAATATTGCATTCTATATGTAATTTGCATCAAGGAAGCCACGTTGGAATAAGTTTGTTTTGTTCTTAATTCAGACTTGGGCACCTCAAGCTAGGGTTTTCATTCATTTCTTCACATGAATGATCTTTTGCTCTAAGTGTGAAAATGTTGGAATGTGCATGTAGACCTGCACCCAGCAGTCTTACCTGTGATCATCTGTTTGATCTTAGGGAGATCACGTAGCGTCTCCATGGGTCAGGTTCCCCATCTGTAAAATGGGTATCCTGTTAGAACCTGCTTCGAAGGGCTGTTGTGGAGCTAAAAAACTGAACATGCTGGCCAGGCACGGTGGCTCACGCCAGAATCCTAGCACTCTGGGAGGCCGAGGCAGGAGGATCGCTCAGGTCAGGAGTTCGAAACCAGCCTCAGCGAGACCCGTCTCTACTACAAATAGAAAGAAATTAATTGACCGACTAAAAAATCAG